TATTTCAGTACTATTTAATGCTGATTTTTGTAATCACTCTACAGGAGAGTTCTAGATTATAATTTGAGGGTTAAAACAAATTCAAAAAAATTGATGAAAAATATACAAGCTTGTTGCTTTTTTAAAAGACAGTTCCTGGTGTTGTGAGTGTTAACCGGAATATTATGAATATATTAAATAACTAGAACTGGAAGTTATATGTAATAAAACTAACTTTCAAATCAAGGGTAAAATGTATTAATTATTATCAGTGAATGATTATAACTGTAATTTGCTTACTGACCAGGGTTTTAGCCTCTTACCTAAAAGGTTGGACTCCTGTTACAAATCCAGTTGTAGGGGAGTAGTTCCTGGAACTTGATCCCATCACTGGTTAATACTTATCTTAAAGCAATAGTAGAAGAAATATCGTTACTACAGGTACAATAAGCAACAGATTACAGCGGTTTGAATTCATCTTTTTTTTTTTTTTTTTTTTTATATAATCTCATGGTCTTGGTAGATTAGATTAGGACGAAATAAATGTATAGAAAAATTATTACAGCAGCTTTCTAACTGCTGTCTAGAGCTTCTAGTTGCTCCTATTGCTCAGACTTTTCTTATATTATAAACAAAGTCTGGAAATATAGTTTTCCAACCTTTTTGAATATCTGTAAATATTTGCTGCTTAGAGACAAATATTATTTTCTTTCTGGAAAACTTTACCAAGCATATGAGAATATCTTTGTAGGCATAATGCAGGTCAAGGCATTTTTATGCGATAGGTTGGCAAAGGCAAAAGGCTAAATCTAATAGAATCGAATTTGCAAGACTTGAGAATGTATGTTAACAGATGGTCTGAGCTTAATTTGATTGTGCCTTTAAAACAGAAAAAAAGGTCAAATAGTCCCCCTATCATGTACAGAGCTGACAGAAACATGTAACTTTAAACAGCTTCTCTCTGAAATTCTTCTTCATGAAAAATGTTGAACCATTTTCCTTCTATTTTACATTTTGAAACTACTGCAGAGAGATTAAATACAAACACAGAATACTTTATAGAACATTATAAAAATCAAGAAGGATGAATAACAAGCTGCTGAGGTTTAACGAACATTATTAAAGGACGTTGATTAGTCCAGTAGAACCATAACTTGACATATCATCGCCACCATTGAGACAATAACAAATGGTAAATATAAGGAAATAAATCAATCAAGACTTTTTGGCACAATATTTACATACAGTTTTGGCACGAAAATGTTTAAATAAACTACTGTTTAAAAAATAGTCGGTTGAAGCAGAAATGTAGGCACGAATGAGTAATAATGCTAAGCTACACAGGAAGCTGAGAGGTCTCCTAAGTCATTAAAGTCTATCCTGCTGGCAGCATGAACAGATTTCCAGATTAAGTGCTCATTAGACACGTTTCATGATGGTTTTACTTAACCAAACATCAGGGGACAGTTTAAGGTATTAGGAGTGATGCTACTTTTATTTGCCCTTCATATCTGATACTTATTAAAAACTTTCCCTATCAGCCTGTAAAGTAAATAATTCAAAATGTGTAACAAGTAATAGATTGGTCCAGCAGCTGACTGAAAGGATCTCCATGGACATGCTGTGAATCCGACAGAGGTTCTTCCTCTTTCCGCCCCACCGCTTCCACCCTATGCATTTTGGCGTGTTATCATAGCGTGACACAGTCCCCCGCATAAGGGCAGACTGGTTGTTATTTTTACTGATGGGTGCCTAATGTGACGCGGAGTGATGCCACTAAAGTCACTGTTTAGTTCTGGCTGATTACCCTCATAGTTCACAGGGCTTAAGGGGGGGCAATGTGGAGCATCCTTTTAAATCGATATGTCAGCGAGTCAAAGAGACTGTAGATACTGATTCTCCTTGGCTTTCTAGGCTTTTTGCTGCCTGACCGCCTTATCTGTATCTCTACCTTTATTAGCCGCTGAAGCATTGGCATCCTCTTCATTTTGGAGGTTTTGATTTGAGTTTTTGGGTTTGTTTGGGGTTTTTTTTTCGCAGTAAGCAGGTCAGTATTGCAATGCCCCCCGGCTGCTCATCAGCTTGGGAACACTGCACTAACAGCATCATGACAACATCCCCTGAAACCCTGATGACTTCGAGAAAGGGGGTAGGGCAGCTGCTCAAACAGTCTAGATGTCTAAAAAGCATTGTTCCTTTTAATAGTGAGAAAAGTAAATAAATCCCAGCTCACATAAAAGCTACATCTCCATCAGATCAAAAAGAAAGTGTCAGATTGACCTTTGCAGAAGAGAAATTCATTTAGTCCTCTGAGAGAGCTGCATTTTAGTCTAGTAACTGACCAGAAAATTCATATGCATGCCTCTCACTTGGCAGATGAGCACAGCAGACCCATTGTTCGGTTCATTATTTGATGTTATCTGACTATGTACATTTTTCTTTGACTGTATATAAACCATTTTTGAACAATGAAGTGATAAGTTTCTACAGATCAAACTGAGAGGTAAGTTTCTATGCTCTGAAATGTGCATTAAATGCATGGATCTCTTACATAGCAGCTTGGAGCCAAAATCTGACATAGATACTGTGGATAGACTTTCTACTCTCCCTTCATTGAGGAATAAAAATATTTTTTAAAGGATAGCTCTGAAGTGTGTTGCTACTCTGCTTTCTTTCTTACGGTTCTCCAATCCCCCATCCCATCGCCGTGGCTTTGCCCTAGTTTTCGTCTCTACGTTTCAGTGTCATTTAATGTGGATCTCCCATCCGTACAGATTCCTTGATTGCAAACCTAACAATTACCATTGTCTGTGCTTTTTGATTGTAGTGAACCTCAGTAACTGTGTTGTACCAAGAAAAGTATAGCCTTATGATCATACTGATTGTATATTATAATTTATCTGAGTATAAAATGTTTTCTACAGTAAGGTGAGGAAATGGTGCAGATTCTGTTAAATAGGTCACTGCAGGCTTCTACCTTGATGCTTCAGTCTCGTATGTCTGCCAGCATATTCTTTTTTTACCTTATTAGTTGTTTTAAAAATAGACTTACCGTAACGTATAAAGAGAATTTAAACTGTAATTCTTCAGTACAGGAAACTGCTTTTTTATTAAACTTGACTGCCTGCAATGTATTTCCAATACAAAAGTGGGTATTGCAGGTCCAGAAAGTAAAAATGTTGCCTAATATTCCTCTATCTTGTTCACCTTCACAAGGCAGGTTTAACAAAGACTCAGACTCAAATCCTCAACTTTGAATTGATCTAGCCTAAGGTTAGAAACCTTGAGTTTTTAGTTAAATAAAAGCTGCTGTGAGTTAGTTTATTTAACTCTGGATAGGTCCACTCAGAGTTGAACACGTGCGTAAAAACTATGAAAAGCCATTATCAGTGGAGACAGATTCGATGAATCACAATGACAACAAGCAAAAGGGAGTACCTCATTCTCACCACTAGAAATAGAGACTTTAATGCAGAAACAGGGAAAAATGAAAAAAGTGTTTAAAAGAGAGATCAACAGCTCTACAGCTGCAAAGGAGAGGAAGATGGCACACGAGGAGATTGCTGCTCGAGTTAAAGCGTAGGTTTATGTGAAGTCTTTTATGGCAGGCCGTTTTGACATTTATTAAAAGCACTCTCCTCTCTGTTGTTCCTTTTGTAGATCTTTAAAATAAGATTCTTCCTGGTCAAAATCACACTCCTAGATGGAACTGTAATAACATATATGATATATCCTAAGTTATATTTTTGCAGTAGAAACTGAAATTTAGAATGTCAAAAACCAAAATTTTGTATAAGAGTTTTGTATATCTAGATATGTTTACACATTCTCTCAAAGTACTAATCCAATCAACATAAAAAAACAATTACCTATAAAGTTGAAATAATAGCTAAGAAAAATAAAAGTAAATGTGTAAAATAAAGGAGACCTTTTTTGTAAAGCTTCAATAAACTGCAATGTTTTCTGTTTATTTAAGGGAAACAGCAGTTCTGCATGTCTCAGGTTTTTTAATGACTTGGAGCATTTAGAAATATTTTATCCTCTAGTTTATTGGTCCTTAAAGCAATAAACCTGGCTTGCTGGCTTGAACTCTTGTCATTTTACAAGAAGGAATCCGATCTGGTTGGTTTTTAGGTTTCAGTTCCTAAATGTTTATTAGTAAGAATCCAAAATCTGAGCTTTTGTTTTCTGAAATCTTAATGATTTATGCGCCTTTTGTTAGGAAGTTTTGGGGATTTATCTATAGTTATGAAGGTTTATTTAATTACGAAAAACTTATTTAATGCATATCAAATAATGTGCTCATAAGTTCAGAACCTTGCCTGGATTGCAGGCAGAGCAGGTAAACATGTAAGAGTTGTCTAAATGTGTATGAAGCCATGCTGTGGTGATTATTGTTCTAAAAAAGGAATCATCTGCATGGCAACATATGCTATGTTCTAAACATCGTGTACATTGTTTGAAATCAGCAGTTCTTTGCCAGATGTGGAGGTTACATCACATGTTATGTTCACCTGAGTTTCTCCATAGAATAAAAAATAGTGGTTTAGGATTAAATGTGCATTGATAAAAAACCTGAATGATTCTTTCCATACTCATGAAAAAAAAAACAGCTGGTATCAGTGACACAGGACAGACTAATATTTAATTTCAAATGTTCCTAATTTCCAGAGAATGCCTCGGTCTGTTTTGATTGTTTTTGTTTAGTTTTTTATGGTGGATCTTTGACTACTTTCTAGGTTTAAAGTGTTGCTGAACCCCTGAAGAATGAGGGTATCATGTCTGCTTTCCATTGAAGATTGAGAATACAAGCATTGCAGCGTTTGATCTCTATTTTTAATGGCACCTGACAACCGCATATTTTTAACATAGCACTAAAAACCTTTATAACCTTCTTTAAAGCCAGAGAATGAAGAGACAGTTATAGTCTAGTATTAGGCTAGATCCAAAAACAACACTTTAGGTTGGATTCATTTGCTGCACAAATGAAAAAATTGAGAAGTAATAATTTTGTTTTTCAGGTTTGCCACCAAAGAGCCAAACGGCTTGTTGCTATATAATGGCCGTTTCAATGAGAAACATGACTTCATCGCCTTGGAAATCATCAACGAACAGATACAGCTCACCTTTTCTGCAGGTGAATTTTCATCTTTTTTTTATCTCACAAACTCCTGACACTTTGAGTGCATTTTCTCACCAATGCTATCGTTTCTCAGGAGAAACCCAGACCACAGTTTCTCTGTTTATTGTGGGAGGAGTCAGCGATGGTCAGTGGCACACAGTGGAGGTTCATTATTACAACAAGGTCAGTCGAAACCAGCCTCTTTATTCTACATATTGATAATTGTGATGAGTTATAGTTATATGTTGGGAGTTAAGGAATTTAATTTTCGTACTTTCTATATAAAATTATTATTTTTTGCTCTAAGTAAGAGATAATAATTTGTTGGTGTAGGTTACCTCACTACAAGGAGAAGCTACCAGAAGGTTTTATGCTAAGCAAACCTGCTGCAGGCTGATGCATTGATGCCCTCTTTACAACAGTTCATTTGTATCTGTGGATTTAGTTTTAAACATAAAGAGAAACAAACACTAGGATGAGTTAGATAGAACAGGAGTCTGCAGCCTTTTCAGCTCAAAGGGATAACTCACCATCACAGCTACAAAATAAGATTTTTCAAGAGCCCAAATAACAGTTTTATTAATATTTTAAGTACAGGGAATTAAATTACTGTTTTCTTTTTTCAAAATTGAATAAAAAAAACTATCATTTAACTTTTGAAAAGAGGAAAAAATTCAAACAAAACTTTTATTTTGTAGCATGAAGCAGGCATATTGAGCAACATAATTATGAAAGATAAAGAATGATATTTTGCCCACCAGATAAAGCTAAGAAACATGAAATTACTTTTAAAAGCCTTGTTCCACTATTGATGTTGTAGATACTCTGTTAAAATATTGCATGAAAACATGCGAGAAAACTCTTTCTGATTGCCTTCATAAATAAGTTGTTAGATCCCCAATGAAGGGGGCCAAAGGGCCCCATTTTCCTCTGGAGCCGCAGGCTGCAGACCCCTGAGATAAACCATTTAATCTTTAGGAGGGAGCCAGAGTTCCCTTCTACAGATTCCACACAGAGGGAATATGCAAACCCCAGGACCTTCTTATATCCCAGCATCCTCAGAAACCTTCCAAAGATTAATTAATAACTCTCCAAACCAGACTGCTGCACCACCCTCAAACATCTGGACACATTATCTAAGACCTGGCGTGGGATTTAAGATTATCCTACAGTACATTGCAACTCTCATGTTTGACTAGAAGTACATAATGTTTTTACTTGTAGGCGTGTTTGATGAATGAGTGTCATTGTAAAACTTGTTGTAGAAACTTGATGAGGTTAAAAAGGGTTACTGTGGCGCTGTCATATGGACCACTAGGCAATTAGTCACAGCTTGTGTCCCTTGCAGACAGCAGACTCTTGCTGTCATGCAGCCATGGATAACCAGCAGCTGTCACTCTTCTTCTGTGGTCTTCAGCATATTCATAGAGCGGCTGTAAACCTGGCTCTGAGAGGGAAGTTTAGGCTTTTTTCCTCTCAGACTAAAGATCGTCTGCTGACAAGCCGATGATGTGGAAGTAAGCCAGCTTGACTTTGACCCAAGGAGACCCCTAAACCAGACATTGGGGGGGGCATTGAATGGATAAAAACCAGAGACTTGGAAGACTTTGTTTTTGCAGACATGCTCTGATTGTTGTAAATATGTTTGACTGCTCCAGTCCTGTGTTAGACTATCAGAACAACTCAATCAGTGCAGGAATGTTTGGAGTTGCTGTCTGCTCTCTCTCAGTACTTTCCCACCCAGGACCCCCACCCCAAACACACACACAGGATGTCACATTTTTGTCTACTGAGGAAGTCACTTTGCATCATAAAGATGCTGCCAGGCAACCCTCCTGCAGTGGACATTTTCCATTCAGCATGTATGATGGCATGAGCGTGTCAGATTTTAGCCATCAGCAGCGATGGAGGGGGAATCTGGTTGAGAACTTGTTGACGTTTCGCTTTTATTTTTTTGCAGATATTAAGGCCTCATTAACCCCTATAATCTAAAGGCTCAATGATTCTCTCTGGTTTCTGTAACCTGCATGTTTTATTGCAAGTAAGCTGTGTGTGATAAGGAAGAACTTTCGGTTATTTTCTAAAATAATAATGAAAGATTTTCGGAAAATATTCCTGGACTTTCTAAAGGTTTTCTGGGGTCTTTGGAGGCTATTTCACATTTTCTGTCTGTTTTTTGACCCTATCTTTAGAGAAAGGTTGTTGTTATTCTGTTTTTTGTTTGAACTAAGGGTTTAACATAACAAATGCTTGACTTTAGATCGTTTATAAGCAAATTCCCTTTTAGATATTTATTACTTTTATTTTGAACAGTTGTTATCATCACACTTTATAGGTTATTACAATAAGTAATAAACACAATCTAAAAATAATACTTTTTTTTAATGTTTTTCCATTCTTATTAACCAGCTAAATGTTCCTTTTGTGGCTTTACATAACATAGCAAATGCTTGGTTTTGCATCTTTTTCTGTATGCCTTCCTTTGACAGAACCAGAGCAGTGCTCTCAGTTTACCAGTACTCTCTGACCTTAAACCAAAGCCATGAGAATAGAGCTTCCTTCATAAGGTGGCTGCGTTTTGCCTAAAGGGAAAACTGCACTGGTAGCACTGAAGCATGGCACATTAATAGACTCATGTAAACCTTTAAAACACTCTGAATCTGTTGTGCTGAAGCACAATGAGAGACCAGCTTATTGGATCTCAGCTGTTGATAGTTTTATTATCATTTTTAAGCTTGGATAAAACACCCCACCTTGGAGCCTCCATTGCTTTTAAGCTGCCGCTTTGTTAAATATAATTGAGAATTTTTTTGGGTCCCTCAAAACGAGGAATGTCTGACTTTTCCTCTTAAATATTTTACCTCAACAGCATCATTTTAGAAAATACCAATAAAAGGATGAATTAATGAAAAGTCTGACTGCTTGTTTCCTAGAAGCCAGACCTTGTTGAAGGGTTTATAACTTTTATCACATAATGCATGTGCTGTATGGATATTTCTCTGATTAAGGCCCATTAATTCTGGGTCTAAATAAGAGAAATCTTGCTTATCATATCTTGCATAGTTAGCATTAGTGCTAGGTGGGGGATCCTCCTACCCTAGCTGAACTAATCCTCCCCCACCTTCCCATTATGCCCCTCATCCTCTGAAGCGCTGAGGTAGAAACACAGCAGCTCCTCCCTCTGGAGGTGTCCCACGGTGGCCCTCTTTGACCCGTCCCTGTCCACATGCGACGAGGTAGGGTGATGAGGGGGTGGGGGGGTGCTAGATTGAAATGTGGCTTTCAGTGCGGTTGGGGACTGTGGAGAATGGCAATGACCGCTGCCTTTGTGTTTGGCCGTGCTTCCTTTGGGGGCCGCGGGCAGTGAATGATGCAGCCCCTGGGGAAGGAGCCCCTCTCCTCCTCTCTTCTCCAGGAAAGGCGAGCAGCTGAGGATTGAGAGGAGGGTGAAGCAGAGCAGAGAGAAGTATGAACGAGTTGGGGCCGACTTCTCCCGTTGCTATGGTTCTCTAGTCAGTCTCCAGTATTTGTGCCGCCTGCTGTCATCCTCCTTCTCCACTTTTGTCACCCCTTCATGTGACGGGGGAACTCATATTCCCATAATCCAATGTAACGGAGGGTGAGAGAGGCGTTTAATGTGCTGGAGAGCAAATATGTACGTTCCAGTCAACTCTGACAGGAGGATGTTTTGTGCAGCAGAGAGACATCCTGACAGACGGCCTTTATTGGAGAGTCAATAGGCGTGACTGATGACAGCAGAGGTCGGTGAAAGGAGCGTCCAAGCTGGAGCGCTGCCTTTTCCTCAGCTTTCACAGCGCAGGGAGAACCGTGGAAAAGAGCATGTCGGATGATTTCACCTTCATCAATTCACACAACATGTTTGCCTTTTTCATCATCGACAAATTTGTAACAAATTGGCCTCAAAGAGTATAAACCGGAAAGTAAAAGCTTCCTTTGGTGGGTTTGTGGTTTTTTAACATTTCACTGCTGAGTGATGGGGAGTTTCTCAGTGCATTGTGACTTCCTGTGGGAAAAGTGCTAGGTAACACAGCCCGAGCAGTTATATATTATCAAATAAGCCTCTCTGAAGGCATTAATTCACCAGAAATGCTTTCTATGGTCGGATCTTGTTATTAAACCTTGAGTGTTTTTAAAGCGAGACGGTCAATCCTGAAAATTGATTGCTAAAGCTGAGCTGAAAGGTGTCCAGCAGAATAATTAAGCAGTCCTGGAGGTTGTTAATGAGCTGTTTACCTTCAAGAGAAGACATAATGCTTTGAGCATGCTCAGTGACACTTCTCACCATTTATCTCCTCAGACTAAACTTCGTGCATCAACCCATCTGCAAAATTTTATTTAGTACTTTTTTATAGATGCTTTATTTACATTTTTAATGTGAGGTATATAGGCTTTAGCTGTTTCCTTTTTTGTATTTACATCAGAAAAGTTTTGTTATTCACATCATACTTTTGCATTAAAGGCAGTGCTGTTTGGGCAAGTCTATATTTAGAACGAGCTTAATACAATGTGTTTTCCTTTTATACATTTGTTGTATATGAAAAACAGAGTAAAACATAATAATTTTGTTACATATAAAAAAGGATTTGAATTTATATACTCTAATAATCTCAGAGGGAAATTACTTCTCTGCATTTAAGCCATCCCCTTGGGGAGCAGTGGGCTGTCATTGTGAGGCGCCCGGGGAGCAGTGTGAGCTTAAGGGTCTTGCTCAGGGACCTAGAGTGGCAGTCTGCGATTGAACTCACAATCTCAGGATTTAAAGCCCTATTCCCTAACCACTAGGCCGCCACTCCCCCCAAGGATTAGCACTAGTTAAGTGACCAAACCAACAGCAGACGTATTCTGGCAGTATGGAACAGTCATATCAGTCAGGTGGTAAAATCTTCAATGAAACCACAGACAACTGGAAGGTGCCTGAGAGACAGCATACAGAGAGACTGTAGTGCTGCGAGAGGAAAGGAAGGCACTGCTGCAAAAACGCTGTGTTGTAAATTATAAACATGTATGTATGTATTCACATAGAATTATTGGTAGGGACAAGTAGGTCAGTCCACAATTTTGGTAGTGACATGTCCCTGTTGTCTCAATGCAAACCTACACCCATGGTTCTTCCCCTGGCTAGACATTAGGAAGGAATTCAGAAATATAAGAATCGAAGAGGGCGGAAGGGGAGTGATGAACTTAGAATTAATTAAATAAATTAGTCAGTAGAAGATTTTTTTTCCCCAAAGACTGGTTGGAAATTTTGGGCAGTATGTTGTTTTTATAAAGATCTAAAAAAGTGTTAATATCATGTTGTGTCTATTGTTCTTAGTACCATTAGTCTGATCTGGATTGAGGAGGTTGAAGCGTGGTTCTGTGTAAAAGGAATCAGTGAGGATGCAGAGGCAAACTTTTTTATTGATTTTTTACAAATAAAAGAACAATCCCAACTTAGGGTACACAACATTGTTTTAAAAAAAAAATCTAAATAGAGAGGATTTTAATGGAAAGGGAGAGGACCATAAGTACATGAACTCACAAATATTGAAATCCAAAGCGACTAAAGATAATATCAGAGTGTTTAAGTATAGGACCTCAAGATGTATTTTCTTAATTCTGTTTTCATTTAGCAGTGGTTTTCACCTTTCACCTTGGAGCTCTGTCATGGAGGACTCCTGCATGAGTCGTTAATCAGCTTTTGGAGCTTTTGTTTTTTTTGTTGGATGGTTCACCACTGTTCATGACCACTCTTTTTGTGAACCAGAAAAGAGGTTTGATGGATCCCCAAAGCCTCAGAAATGACAGGCTCCTGACAAGAAAGACTTTTTAAACCCCTTTCCAGACTCATAGAAGTCAGTGACCTCGTTTCTAATCTGCTCTATGATTTGTTTAGATTAGAGGTGGATGTTTTCCTTTCTGAGATATCTTAGGCTACTTCTTGCTTCTGTTCAGAGGATTTGGTAGACATGGTTTTTTATAGCTGGATTTTAGTAACAGGTGATGTTTTCTTCTTCATGGAGGGCCAGGTTGATTAATTTGCTCTTGGCATGTGAAAATTCCATCAGTTTATAAGGGGTTGATGTAAAAAATTGTTTAATGAGAAACATCTCAGTGTGATAGAATAAATCTGTGGAGAGACCACCTGTTTTCACAACACAGCATTTGTATGTTTGAATAACTCTTTGAACCCAAGGGTCAGAAGTCAGAGCTCCTCAGGGAGAACTGACAAAGTTTTCTACCTTAAGTCGTGAATTCTTTCATGTTAAGTACCATGAAATGACAGATTATTTAACTGCAGGTTTTTAAATAATCTATTGCTGTCCCCATCTCATTGAGATCACAAGACTGCAGGAATTCGGCAGCCTCTCACTAACAGCCTTATGTTACTGGAAACTCACAGAGAATTAATCTAGTCTTCTAAGTTTGAAAATCACGTGAGTGATGTTGGGCTGAGGCGGTGCCTTGAGCTAAAATTAAATCATTCATCAGTGGATATAGAGTGTGTTTGATTTTTAATAAACCATTCGCCATGATGGGGCAGCTACAGATGTTGCAGCAGCTGGTTAAATGCACGCTTCAGCTGGATGTCTTTTACATCAGACAGCAGAGATAAAGCTGCCTGATCCATAACAGCCAAGCAATCAGGAAATTAGAGTTTCTCAGACTCCTGGAGTCTCTATGAAAGAAATCTGTTTTAATTTAACCTCCAGAGATTGTTAAAGAAATAATGTCAGTTAAGTTTTATTTTGGGTGTTGATGAGATGATTGAATCTTTCTGAACAGCTGGGTGCTGAGCGGCTTGCCCCGGTGGTGAGAAGGCGGCTGCTACTGCTTGAACCCACACTTAAGGTTAACATGATCTCTGAGTGACCCTGCAGAAACTGGCCAGAGTGTGAGGAGGTCGCAGCCTTTTATTGACAGGATCATAATTCTCTCCACCGTAAAACCCGCCTACTTTTGTTGCTATTGATTTCTTGGACAAAGAGGAAGATTTCTTATTGTGGACAGAGGGAGCTCCTACAGAGAGCTCACCTCTCAAAATGTGTGAGTGGGGTTTAGACAGTTTGTCTGTTCTCCCCTTCAAAGGTTTTAGAAATGTCAACATTTTGCTCTTTTTTTTTTCTTTTTTTGTATTTTTATAAAAGTTCTCTTTTGAGTCCTTAGATATATCTGTGCAATAATAAAAAAAGTAGAATTACAGCTCAGCCAGGCAGTTTCCTGCCTGTTCCTGCTTTTTACAATCCGATTTTCATCTATGTGCTTTAAAATATTAAAATATTTAAGACAAACAGAAAGTTGACAAAATCTTGACTTTTACCTCTATTTCCAGGCAGCCAGTTTTTTTATCCATATTTTCTTCAGTCTTTTAGAAACGATGCAACGAATAAACACATCTATGCTGGTTTAAACATTTGAGTAGTTTACAAAAATGTCTTTTAGATCTTTCCTTATTGATATTCTAATTTGATATAATGTGATGCTTTAACCAATCCATCCATCCATCCATCCATGCATCCATCCATCCATCCATCCATCCATCCATCCATCCATCCATCCATCCATCCATCCATCCATCCATCCATCCATCCATCCATCCATCCATCCATCCATCCATCTCCTGCTGATTGTTCTGCAGCCTGCTGGTGCTTTAATCCAGCAGTGTATGGGTAATAGGCAGGAAAAACCCTGGAGGAGTTGCCAGTCCATAACAGGGAACCAGATAGCTCTACAGCGTGCACACAATTTAGAGTCACCAGTTAATCTAATGATTATTTTTTTGGACTGTTGGAGAAGGCCAGACTACACACATATGCACTGGAGAACATGCAAACTCTGTGAAGAGCTACAAACTGTGCCGCTGTGATCTGGACTGTTAACTGGTATCTTTGGTTTCTGTTCATGGTGATATACCTGCAGGAACATGAAACTCTGTCCAACTATTGAGTCTTTTCTATCCTGTAACAGTTTTTTCTTCCTATATTTCCTGGTATCTAGCTCCATCTATCTTCACATCAGCTCAAAGCAACTTCTCTGTCTATGTTAAGAAAAGCATCCCTACAGCATGGCGCTCCCACCGCCATGTTTCAATGCAGAATTAGTTTTCCTCCACATGTAGCTTCTGTATGAGGACCAAAATAGTTATAGATTTTTCAGCCTGATTTTACCAGCACATATTGTTTCCCTGGTTTGCTTGTGGTAAAATGCAAATGTATGATGGTTTCCCTTTAGGTATGGCTTTCCTCTTCAGACTCATCCATAGGGTTCAACTTTGCAGACTACATGCCTATTATTAGTTTAGGAGGTTCTAGGAGATTAAACAACTTTAGACCTATTTGCAAATGCATCCCCAACTTAGTTTTATTCATTGATATTCATGATGCAGTTTTTTTCTTTTCCAATATACATTTGAGACCTTATTAGAACCACCGGATTTATACTGAGAGTAATTAATAGATGGATGGATTGTTTAATCATACCACAAGTTCTGAAGTCGTTGGTTGCATTTGTTTGCAATTAAAAGTATTGACTAAAGGAGGCTAAAAGATCTTAAAATATTTTGAAAAACTATCCTCCATCATCTCAATGATTATCCTCTGTTTATTTGCTGGTTTATCATTTAAAAGTTCCTTTAAATTAATTGTTGCAATGTTTATACATTTTGTGAGAGTTTCAATACTAATGACATTCTCTATGAAGTTTTTTGAGTGAATCTGTCCCCGAAAACAGGAGAGCAACACTCTGTTAATTGATTTGGATAATAAAGAGTATTTCTTCCTTGTTTACAGCCAATACTGAACCAGGCCGGTCTGCCTCAGGGTCCCTCAGACAAGAAAATTGTGGTAGTGACGTTGGACAACTGTGACACCTCTGTGGCGCTGAGATTTGGTCACATCATTGGAAACTACTCATGCTCGGCCCAGGGAAGCCAATCTGGATCAAAAAAGTAAGTGTGATCAGATTCTAGTGAGAGGAAAAGTTTATATTAAAAGCTTTTTTATTTTATTTTCCAACTAGTACACAGAGATATTTTCAAAGTTCCTAATTATAAAGCTCCTCATTAATACTGCACTTTTTTGCTGAGACTTTCATGCTCCTCTCAGAGAAACATTGCAGATGAAAACAACCCGTGATGAATTCCTTCTGTAATTTCCCCGCACTCTGTGTCGGCAGCAAACGGCTTTGGCTGAACATGTTTCCTTTGTGTTGTCAGATCTCTTGACCTGACCGGTCCCCTGCTGCTCGGAGGAGTCCCCAAACTCCCGGAAGATTTTCCCGTCCGGAACCAGCAGTTTATGGGATGCATGAAGAACCTGCGTATCGACAACCAGCACGTGGACATGGCCAGCTACATCGCCAACAATGGCACCCTGCCAGGTAATCGGCCTTCCGCAGCGCAGTTATTTATGTAGAGGGCTGCATTTTGTTTCTTCACAGTGAAACAGTGTTTATTGGTGGAGCAGCCGATTGTGGAAAACCTGCGGAGGAAATAACTATAATGAGAACAGCTGGAAGGCAGAGTCAGTGGGAAATGATGACCGTACCCGCTATGAATATTTGATTACCCTGCGTCTCTGCTTCTCTGATGAAATAATGAGTCTGGGCACATCAAACAAATTTTTGCTTTTCTTTCCCTCACCTCCCAGGATGCTCAGCCAAGAGACATTTCTGCAACAGCAACAACCCGTGTCTGAACGGAGGGACGTGTGTCAACCTGTGGGGTTCTTTCAGTTGTGACTGCCCACTTGGATTTGGAGGACAGAACTGTGAGAGAGGTGAGGAAAGGAGAGGGACATCGACGCTGGATTACAGATTTTATCCTGAAATACTCTTTTGCAGCCAGCAGAGTAGTGTTAGATTTTAATCCTTAGAAGTTCAATTCACAAAAATAAAAAAACTCAAATAACTTACATTTATGATTTAATAAACTTCCAGTTGCAATCCACAGCTTCACATCTATGTCTTTCATCAATGCTTATTACATTAGTTTTAAACTCTGTTTTCCTCCTGCTTTTTTATATTTCCTCTATTCAACATGCTTAATTACACTAGGTTAAAAAGATCACTTGGTCATGGTGCAGCAACAAACATCCACCTGTTTGGATTTTCTGTAATAGATTGATGCTAATTAGCTCATGATTGTGATTAATATTCTTGATTAAATGATAAACTCTTTGAATAGGTGTCTTACAATATGGACTTAGACAAGAAGAGGCGAATAAATTACTGAAAAAAATAACTAAGGACAAGTAACAGTACCTTAACAGAAAATTACTTTGCTCAATGTAAATGTGAGTTATAAGAAAAGTATTAGAGTAAAGTTACTAGTGGGAAAGTACAAGTAAAAATACTCACTGCTTTTTCTACATAAAAAGAAAAGAGATAAACAGTTTTTTGCTTTACTTCACTTTGGTAAAAGCATTGAAGGTAAAAGTTGTTTAAAAATCCCTTTAGTCATAAGAAAACATTGTATTCAAACAGTACTGTCCTTAAGAACTCAAAATGCAACAAAAAGCATTATGTCGTGCATGCACAGCTGTGCTGTCTGTCTGATGAAACTAAAAGTTCCTTCTGAAATAATAAAATAAAATAAAATCTGTCCAATCTGACAAAACATAAAAAAAGAAAAAATAGCTTAATAGCTAAACAATAACATTTTCCATACAGTAATGCAGAATGGTTTAGCTGTAATTTGGATTTATCAGTGTTTAGGAATAAATTTGAAAGACATGTTGCAGTTTAAATGGCTTTCTCAATCCTCTAGAGAAATAAAAGAAATTAACATTTCTGTTTTTAAAGAGGTCTACTTAACCCCCCCCCCTCAAAAAAAAAATGTAAAAAATTTGGTAAACAACATTGTGGTGCTTTTGCTCTACTGCCCATAATAACCCGATTCCACATAAACAACTCCTGATAAATTATCATGATAAATTCTGGGTCATCATATTAATTTGTAGAGAGTACCAATGACTCTAATTATTAACACATTTTTTTGTGTTACAAAATAAAAGTAAGTATCAATAAAAATAAAAAACAAAGTAAACATCCTCAGAAAAAGAAATGATGTAAGTACTTTAACAAAGTAAGTGCATTAAGTTACTCTACATCTATTTTGATTAGGCTATAAACACATAGAAATTGTTTGACGGATAATCCCCACTGAAGTCTTAGGTCTTTTGCAGCTTCTAATAACTTTCTATTGGATTGTCCTCCATTAAGGTCAATTCCATCTTCACTTGTATTCTGACTGTTACGGTATACTTCCTGCTAAAGTAAAGATCATGATGGTGCCACCATCGTGGTTTATAGTGGGGATGCATGGTTACAGAGTGAATTATCAAGGAAATAAATTACACCCGGGTATTGGATGACTGTTAAAGGTAATTATAATGGGATTATAAGATTTTTTATTTTAGGTTATCGTAGTAAAAGTGTTGATTATAAATTCTGGCCACTAGTTTATTTTCAAACAATTCAGAAATGAGTTATCTTTCCATTTGTCAGCCCATCTGTAACTCTATATGTTTGTTGTTCCATCCATCCACCCATCCATCCATCCATCCATCCATCCATCCATCCATCCATCCATCCATCCATCCATCCATCTTTATCTTTATTTTTATAATCAAAAATTCAGAAAATTAAAGTTAAAGGTCCTAAAATCAATTCTTGATTATCTTTGTTTTATATTTGTCTTTAGGCAATAGCACTTTCAGGTTTAACCATCATGCCTGTTCATCTTTTTTTATATCCATACAGACACGGTTTAACAATGGGGCAGGACTGAACCTCATTCGAGAGGAGCCCTTCTGGGCAAACTTTCTCTCAAGGCTCCCTTTCAAAACATAGAAGTGAAAATTATCCTACAGTTTACTGTTTCAATGTTTATTTCTCTTATCCTAACAGTATAGAGAGCATTTCCAACCCTTTTTTTTTTTAACAAACTATATTCTCCTTTTCCATACTGTTGGAGATTAGTGAGATACCTTGGGCAGAATAAGAACATGCTGGACTCCATGGTTAGCAGTAATGACTTATCATCATGTGGCCTAAAAAGAAGCTCTCATCCCATTTAACTCGGTCACATCTTTCAGTCTCCTTATGCCTTTCATCGCCCTGACTCTCTTTCTTTGTCGTTCTTGCAGTCATGGCCAACCCGCTACGTTTCCAGGGTAATAGCCTGCTGCAGTGGAACAACCTGGAGGCGTTGGCCGCCTCCGTCCTCTGGCACGTCGAGCTCATGTTCCGCACCCGTCAGGCCACCTCCCTCCTGCTCCACATCTCCTCGGGCCTACATCACAACCTTACTCTGCAGGTGAGGTCCATCGTGCTCTAGGCTTCAGTTTGGTCTGCTTGCGTTGGGAAGTGCTGGGACTAAATCCCTCTGTGTGAAGAAACGCTCCTTTAATATTTTCAGCTCTGATTTCAGCTGCCTTTCTGAGCCCGTCTAGACAGCAGACTCTTTGATGCTGCATAACTCTTTAACATTCTGTACCCAGCAGCAAACACATGAGATTTGTAGCAGTTCAGAGTCTGAACTTTTGAACCCACATAGCTGATTGTCTTTTTATCTCTCTCCCTGTCTGAACTTGGTTAGCTGCGTGGGGGAAGTGTGCTGATGGGGCTTCACAGGGGGGAGGACTCCACTCTGTCCCGGGTGGAGGAGGTGTTGGTGAACGATGGAGACTGGCATCATCTACAGCTGGATATCAGTAGTCTGGGAGGAGCAGCGAGCCGCCACAAGGCTGTGCTGTCTATAGATCAGGGCTTATACCTGGTGAGTGGGGTAAGCTCGATGTGAAATGAACTAATCAGTTTGGACCCTTATGCAAACACTGTCATGCTGTATTTTCAGGCCAGTATGGAGGTGGATGGAAAGCTGCGGGAATCCAAGTTGAAAACTGTCAGCGTTGGTGGCTTGGCAAAGCCTGATGGGAAAATTCAGCATGGCTTCCGTGGCTGCATACAGGTTTGTCGCCTCCAAAAACTCCACGCATGTCCAAACTGATAAAAAGCTAAGACAGCATAAATTAGTTTGACTATCACAAATCAAGTCATTAACTAACAGACACTTTGTAGAAAGAGATCTTATGTTAAATAAACATTTGGTTTTTTCCTTAATTTGTGTAATTTTCACCATTTCATTCATTCAGAATGCTTTTCTAATTTTTAGATTTTGGTTGTGGACATGACACTGTCTGGATTGAGTAATGAGTGGGTAACATTAGAGGAGCTCCAGGGTACTTCCCGGTCTACACATTGGGTTTTCATTGTTTTGAAGAACTAATAGATTTGGTCAGATTACTAGAAAGAAGAGCTGCACCATCCAAAGTGAGATGGATGCCGTCCGTCCAAATCAGAGCAGGTTTCCCCCAAAAAGTTAGCATATTATTAATGTAGCCCACATTGTTTTTGCCACCACCTAGGCAACCAGCGGTTGAATGATGACAAGCGGCTAAACATGTCATCACTGGTCAGATCAACAAAGTCTCTAATCGGCCTTGATACAATTTCTCAAGCCCTGACAAAATGAAACCGAGACCAGGAAAAAAAAAACATTTTGAGACCCTGTTTTAAAAACATTGAAAAGAAAACTTTTTTGCTTAACTGGCATGTGTGGAAATGTTGCACTGCTTTGCTTGCCATTTATTTAATACAGTGTCTTAAACATTTTTCTGTCTGGAATCCTAAGTAGATGGAGCTTGCCATGTCTTTTTTTTCATGTAACAAAGTTTTTCACAGCAGATTGAGGCCTGCTGACAGAGCTATGAACAAACAATAGGACCAGGTTAAAGTGATAGGTTGAAGATGTATCACAATTACCCAGAAAGTTTTAAACTATTTTCAGCCTAAAATTAAAAAAAATAAATCCACAGTTCATAATAATAATTTAACTTTATTGATCTCACATTGGAGAAATGTAACTCTGCATTCATCCCATCCCCTTGAAGAGCAGTGGGCTGCCATCGTGGGGCACCTGGGGAGCAATCAGTTGTTAATTATCTTTGCTTTGAGATCCGAGTGGCAGTCTGTGGGAGTGGCCTCGACCACTAGATCGCCCCTCCCCTCAATAGGCCTTAATGCAAAACTGTGGCACGCATTTAAAGGTATCACATGCATATATTTTGCAATGCTGCAATATTTCTTAACTATGTTTGCTGAATTGTTTTTGACTTGGGTCACAGAAAAAAAATTAGCCCCTCTTACAGTAAACTGGGGACCCATTAGGACAAATGTCAGTCTTCAGGGCTTGTGTCCTGCACCTTCTAGATGTGTCTTTGCTTTAAAACTCCTGAATCAAATAATGATGTCCTTAGCAGCAGCTTTGATAATTTTGCTACAAATTAATTAAGCCATTTGATTCTAGTGTGTCAGCCCAGGAAAACTAACAGTTGCATGATACAGGCCCTCGAGGACTTGAGTTTTTAGCACCCCTGCACTAGGGGGTTGCCCCCCTAACGTTGGGGATTTCTGATATTAACCGCTAATTCCATGCAAACACATTTATTTAAAAGCAACATGGTTCAGTAGCTATAATTAGTTGGTACGGTACAATCATTTCCACACAGGGTCTGCGGGTCGGTGGGGCCCTGAGCTTGTCTGTGGCTAAGAAAGTGAACGTGGAGCCGGGCTGCAGCTTGCCGGACCCCTGCAGCTCCAACCCCTGTCCTGCCAACAGCTTTTGCAGCAACAACTGGGACAGCTATTCCTGCACCTGCCTCAGTGGTCAGTCCACACTGTCATAATCACAGACCGATTGTTTCATGAATCCAGGTCATAAAAGACTCAAAGTCATCAGTTGCATTTCTCTACAGGTTATTACGGCACCAACTGCACAGACGTGTGCTCACTGAACCCCTGTGAACATGCTGCTACCTGCACCCGTAAGCCGAGCTCCTCACGCGGCTACACCTGCGAATGTCCCAGGAACTATTTTGGCAGATACTGCGAGAAAAAGTACCCCTGCCCACACTTATGCTCAGTAGAGGTTGTTCTAGCATGTCTGTTTTAACATTTAAACTAACTATCAGTCCTGTTTTCACAGGACTGACCTGCCATGCCCAAGAGGCTGGTGGGGTCATAAAACCTGCGGGCCCTGCAACTGTCCCACTGACCGAGGTTTTGATTCTGACTGCAACAAGACAAGCGGGGAGTGCCGCTGTAAGGTGAGACAGCAAACCTAAATTATTCAGCCCCTCAGTTTTAAAACCTGAATGCAAAGAGAGAAACTAGCGCTGTGGGATATCTATAGAATCAGCTAAACAAACTGAGCAATACCCCTGGGTTAGCGTGACAACAAAGACAAAAAGAAAACCCTGAATTATGCAGCTTGTTTTAGTGTTATAAAACTGACCTTTTCATTGTGGGACTTAACAGTTCATGTTATCATATGTCATAATGATGTGCTGCCTTTGCTTTTAGTGTCACATCAGTACAGTCCTGTTCCAGCCACCTTCTGACAAGAGGGGATGTCTGCTTTAGAAGGTGCTAAAGAGTCGGATTTTGGCCCAGCTGAAAAGCATTACTTTTCAGCTTCATACCTATTTTAAGGCCAGTTAGAGGCTGTCATTGTGCAAAAAAATTTTTTTTAATACATTTTATTCTGTTTTAAATAAAAATATTATAAACAAAAAAACCTCATTACATCCACATAGTCATATTGCAAACCGTACACACCAAAATAAAGCAGATTAATTGTCAATGTTTTCACATGTATAGTCCTTTTAATGCATTGTTTATCATTAATTAATAACAAACACCTTATATGCCATAATTTAACCTCTAGTTGTATTTATATTTTCAATAAAAATAAAGATTTTCAACTTCTTCGACACTAGATAGTAAAAAGTTACTGCATAGTTACTTTGGCTAGTTACTGGTTACTCAAGCACTAAACAAGGGCCCTGTCACACCTTGCGGATTTAGCCAGCGTACGCCTGACATCCCAGAATATCCTAAAACGCTGGCATACGCTGACTTTCTATGTATTTTTTTTTTATTTTGGGTGTACAGTATACATAGAGTCGGGGTGCAGCAATGTGCCTAGAGGTGCCGGGTCTTTGATGTCTTTGATCGCATTATTAACCAGCTGCTGTTTACCACCCAAAAAAGAAAGCAAAAGAAAAAAGAAAGAAAGAAGATTTGCAATCACAGCAGATTCATCATCATGTCTGCTAGGAAGTTTGTTGGTTGTGGCGTTGGGAGCGAACGCAGGGAGGATCCATCACACTCACCTTCTCGCTCACCCTATGATGGGGATGAAGTCTGGATGAGAACTGACGGTTTCCTCCTGTGACCCCCCCTTTATACCAAAACGCTGCCAATACACAATTATACAGTAGCTGTAAGTTAGTTACAGGTTTAATGGTCGTCTGGAACATGTCAAATACGTTGGTATGCATTAGAGATAAGTTTTTGATAAGTTACGCAATAGTTACTCATAGGTTTTGGATAAGCTACACACCACAACTTATCAGCAACTTACACTTAACATGTGTCAACGATCAAATAACTTACCTGTAACTTATGGCCCAAGTATGAGCATACGCAGGCACGGCATGAAATTTTGAGCATGCTCAAAATGTCTCAACGTACTCACAGCCGTTGGCTGAAACCTCAGCCAACGGCATGTCGACATGTTCCAGCGTGTTTCAGTGTATTTCAGCGTGCTCATAACTTATATAAAATGTACCCATAACTTATCCAACGTATGACAGTGTTTATACCAGAGTTTCCGTACCTCAGGTATATGCTGTCTAAATCATCAAGTTGTGACAGCGGCTTAAGTGAGTTACTAACTGAGTTAACTTTAACTATAACTTTTTGAAGTAACGGTCCCAACACTGACTTTAATAGAAATGCAGAAGGCTTGTTTATGTTACCGTATGGAAAATCTTTAATAAAAATACCTAAAAACGCTTTTACATCTACCCTGTTTTGCTTTGACTTGAGAAATAATAACAATGAAATCATATAAATTTTGTAAAGTTATTTATTTATTTTTTTCTCAGGTTTGGCTTAACTTGACATTTCTGCAGATTTAGAAAAACAAAAGGTGGTCTCACTAAGCAGGTTGTCTTTCCTGTCTTCATCTCCAGGACAACCACTACCGTCCCGAGGGCAGCGACACCTGCCTGCTGTGCGACTGCTATCCGGTTGGCTCGTTCTCCAGAGCCTGCGACAGAGAGAGCGGGCAGTGTCAGTGCAAGCCTGGCGTCATCGGGCGCCAGTGTGATCGCTGTGACAACCCGTTTGCTGAGGTTTCAGCCAACGGCTGTGAAGGTCTGAATGAAACAGCTCAATATTTAAAACTCTTACACTTTTCTGCTCACAGCCATCTTCTTCCTCCTTCTCTCACAGTAATCTATGACAGCTGCCCTCAGGCCATCGAGGCTGGGATATGGTGGCCCAGGACTAAGTTTGGTCTCCCTGCAGCCATCCCCTGTCCCAGGGGGAGTGTTGGTATGATGGGTTTTTGGCACCTCATCAGATTATCATGAAATAATGGCGATATATGAACCCTGCCTGGAGCTCAGCTCCTATATGATGACTTTATGTCCTCTTCCAGGCACGGCTATCCGCCACTGTGACGAACACAAGGGCTGGCTTCCTCCCAACCTCTTCAACTGCACCTCTGTCACCTTCAGCAAGCTCAAAGTCTTGGTATGTCACTTCTGTTAGGGAGAAAAAAACCCTCAGCTCTGTTCATAGTGTGGTAGATGGAAGAAAGAAAATACATTTAATTATAGGCCAGCGGTGTCTTCAGGACACATGGTGTTTATGTCTCATTAAAGAAAAGCAGAAGCATTTTATTCACTATGCTAGATAAGTCATTTTTTCTTAAAATAAGTGCATTTGTTCTTGGATTGACGGGGTAAAAGAGACATTTTGCCATTGGAACAATAAAGTGTACACTGAAAATAAGAACACACAATTGCATTGTCTTATTTCAAGTGCATATTATCTAATTATCTTACTTTAAGAGTAAAAATATTGGCAAACTATCTCATTTACGTACTCAAATTAAGGGTAAATACACTTAATTTAAGACATTTTGCACTTATTTCTAGATCTTTTTTCCAGTGCTCTCCACTTTTTGTCAGCTTGAAAGATTTTAAGTGATATACCAATATTAGTGAATAAAAACTGTTTTTTTTAAACACAAAGAAAATGATTCCTGATATTTAAATCAAATGTTTTACCCATTTTCTTAGCTTTAGCTTAGCCTGGTTTTAGTAAAGAGCTTCTTTGAACATAAATTCATGAAGTATTCCTACAGATTCTCAATCAGATTTTACTGTTTAACAATGCAACAGACTTGCAATCCCCTGAAAATACAAATAATTACTCAAAATGTACTTGTACATATAAAATTAAGTAATTATATTCATTTGAATTACACTGATATTTTTTGTTCTTCCTTTTGGCCTTATTTTTACTATATGGTGATTAAACATTTGGTTATTGATTTGTGCATTTTACAACTTAACAGATTATTTAATATTTGAATCATTTGTTATAATAAAAAACAAACTAATAAAAAATGTCGAATCTTCCTGTTTAACAACACATTTATATTTATGTATTTTATTTTACATTTTGGCCCTAATGAATCACATCATAATGTGGTGTGAAATTTGTGAAAACCATTTTGCGGACCTCCACTTAGCTTATCTGTGAACCTGCCACACCTCAAACAATTAAAAGACTAATGCAGCATTTAAGGTGATGCTGAGGAGGAAATGCAGTCAAAAGCACTGAGGATGTCACAGAACAGCTGCACTGATACGGTTAAATTACATTCACCAGGACTCTGCTAATTACTAATGTGCTTGAACGTTTACATACCCTTCCATTAGACAGGAAAAACAGCTGCTAGTAAGATAAATTGACAAAAGTAATAATAAATAAATTCAGTCAGATTTCTGCACAAGTTGACAGGTATGTTGGTTCACTGTTCATCAGCAAGGTACTTTAATTTGTCTGGGACAGTTTTTTTTTTGTATAATTATTTATCTAAAAATTCTATATCAATAATTTATTTTACTGAATTATCATCAACTTTTTCAGGTTTGTGATATTTGAATTACTAGTGTGAATTAATAGTTTTCTCAATGGGAGGGTATGTAAACTTTCAAGCACAACTCTATTCAGCGTTTTGCTTGTCTGCTTGATTTTGCTGGTCAGCTTAATACCCAAATATTGTTAACTGGGTATCAAATTTAACAGTTCATTGAAATACACGGTGCAATAAAAAAATATTTTTTCTATCACATAAAATCCCATGAAACACATTAGGCACCTTTACAGAAGCATTGTTTGATACTGAGATTATTTAAGAGCAGCTACACAGTTTGTCCTCTTATGTGTTCGCATACATGGGGGGTTAAGTGGGCACATAGTGGAGCAATTTGGTTTAAAATCAGCTCCAGTTTGAGAGGAAACCCTGGTAAACATTTGAACTAATGCTGTAAGCTACAGTTCCATATACATTGACCAGGGTCAGGAATCTGGTATTGTTTGAAAGGATTACTGATGGCTTATTTTGGGTAAATATGAGGTATAAATTAATGGAACCTTGTGTTTAATTCCCCTACTCTAGTCAGAGAAACTGTACCGTAACGCATCGCTCCTTGATTCTGGACACACTCAGCAGACAGCCGCCCTGCTGGCCAACGCCACCCAGCACACGGAGATGCTCTACGGCAGCGATGTTAAGGTGGCGTACCGCCTCACTCAAACCCTGCTGCAGCACGAGATCAACCAGCAGGGATTCAACCTCACAGCTACGCAGGACGTGCACTTCACAGAGGTTAGCATGACGGCGAAAATCAGACACAGAAAGCACAGCATGAGCTAGAGAAGAAGACTTTAGTGTTGATTTGCAACCTTAATCAGCCCAGCTGCCAGGTGGTCCTGAACGGAGCTCCTACAATGACTGTGACTCTGAAGTCTGACTGCTTTCTGACAGAACCTGATCACGGTGGGAAGCACCATCCTGGCCCCAGAAACTAAGACGCACTGGGAGCTCATCCAGCACACGGAGGGCGGCTCGGCGGCGCTGCTGCGGCACTATGAGGAATACGCAAACACACTGGCTCAAAATATGAGGAAGACCTACCTGAGCCCCTTTACCATCGTCACACCCAACATAGGTACGCACCTCAGTTACTTTCTTTTTACATTTTACGACATATTTAAAATACAATGTTCACTTGATTTTAGTTGTTATATTGACAACATGTTGTAATACTGATACCAATACTTTCACCTCTAATACAGCTATAACAGCAGTAATGTTATTATTGCTGTTAATACACAATCATAACAAAATTATGTAATTTCTTTGACTTTTTAAACATTTTATATAGTAGTAATGATATGTTTAATTTATTACAATCATCTTTAATTTATAACTGAGCAATATAAATTGATCTTTCAGTCTATAAAAACCTCACTCCTCAGATTACACCTTTTATATTGTTAAATAAAAAAAAATATAGAGTCAAAAACCAAATGTTTGGACAAACTAAACACATCCCAAAACCATGGATATTGTATGTAGTTCCTTTCTTTTTTGCATGGCTGTTTGTGTGTAAATTTAAGAATAGAAGTGAATAATTATAAGGATTAAGAAAAACAATTTGTGAGCATAGACTGATTCAACATGTTTAATTTTTTTTGTTATTTATTTTAGTCACTAAAAATTTTATAAAACATTAATACTATACAGCTTCCAAATTAGATTTTCACTATTGCCACACCATTGGAAGTTGCTGCTATCAGAGACAGTGGTGGTTCAATGGTGTCAAATAAATCCAAATGTCATGTATTGCATTAATAAACGTTGAAACACATAAAACACATCACTACAATGAGTGAAAATAGCTGTTGTGAAACTCATGAGGAAAACCTCCTCGCTGTCTGGCCTCTGTAGCTGGCTTCAATGAAAAGTCCTTAAGTATGTTGGCCAATCAGCATGGAGCAGCCAGCTTCATGACCGGTTCCTGCTCCATCGTCCCTCTAAGAAGTTTAGCGTTACTGAAACCAATGTATTTTGGCGTGTTATCCAATCAGGATACCTAAAACCTATACAGGGATTTTTCATAGAGACTGACAGGCAGCGTCCTGCTGCTCCAGAGGAGAGTTAAAAGCTGATCAATGAGCAACACATTAATGAAATCAGGCGCATTTTTGTGCATATTTAATGTAGTTTAATGACTGCATTTATGAAGTTTGACGATACCTATTTTACCAATAATATGATGAAATATACAGGGTAGGTTTAGCCTCCCTAGTGTTCAGGGAGAAAGTGCCAGTGCTGCACACCTGGAGAAATCTAAGTCGAGCTCCACTATCTTACACATTTAAACTCAATCTTTTTTTTCTGTTTCTACAGTGATCTCTGTGGATCGGCTTAAAAAGATGAATTTTGCTGGAGCCAAACTGCCGAGGTACCAGGCCTTAAGGGGCCTGCGTCCTGCAGACCAGGAGACGGCTGTCACCCTCCCCGATTCTGTCTTCCAACCACCCCTTGACAGCAAGGGCCACAGACATCTGGACATTTTCCCAGAGTCCTCCCAGAGGAACCGGTCGACAAACAGGAAGAGACGACACCCAGACGACAGCCAACAGGACGCGGTTGCCAGCGTGATAATTTTCCACAGCCTGGCCTCGCTTCTGCCCGAGAGCTACGACCCAGACAAGAGAAGTCTACGGTGAGTTGGAGCTATGTCCCTTCAAATCACCTTTTTACGGTTGATTACTCTGAATAGTTTATGTAGACGAGAGGAGAAAACTGAGTGTACAAAGCTTCCTTTAATTCACCAAGATTCCTTTAAATTAGGGTTGGCAGATCTCTTTGGTTATTTTCATCCAAACATCATGAACATAGAAGCTGTATGACAAGATTTGATTCAGAATTTATTTTCTCTAAAAGTAAAAATATAAACACAAGGTTACAAATCCTCAGTAGGAAAAACAGAAAGCAGGAGCGATTGTAGGCATCATCAAGTTCTGCTTTGTATCTGACTGCTTCTAAATGGATAGGCTTATGAAGCCTATCCACTAAACCCTTTCATCATTGTGTCATCATTACACTTTGGAATAAAAAGCACATATATGTGAGTAAAATATTACCACTAGGTGGGCTGTTGAGCACTGTCTGTAGACCAAAACAAGATGTGTGACAAGCAATGCTTCTCTCTACTTCCTCTCCAGCTCCACCCTTGCTCCTACCTCCCCTCCACTTCTATCCCATCCCCTTAAATGACCATATTTGCATAATCAGGAATATGAAATAAATGTGCAACAAACACAAAATATTTTTTTGTAGAAACAGAATATTTCCAGCTCCTGCATGAAGTTGTGGTAAAGTTCATGTTTTTTTTTCGGTTTGTGACAGCGTGCCAAAGCGTCCGGTCATCAACACGCCGGTGGTCAGCATCACAGTACACGACAATGACGAGCTGCTGCAGCACACGCTGGATAAGCCCATCACCGTGCAGTTCCGCCTGGTCACCAGCGAGGAGCGCTCTAAACCCATCTGCGTGTTCTGGAATCACACCATACTGTGAGTGTGAGGACAGAAGATGCCGATGCAGTGGAGTCAAGCGACTTTTCTCTCATGTTGTCTGGTTGTGTTTCAGAGGCGGGAGCGGTGGCTGGTCTGCCAAAGGCTGCGAGGTGGTTTTCAGGAACAGCACCCACATCAGCTGTCAGTGTTATCACATGACCAGCTTCGCTGTGCTGATGGACGTCTCAAGGAGGGAGGTGGGTGAAACCAGGACTTTCTGTGAACCACCAGCATTGTTGCAGCTCTGTGCTAAACCTCCATATTTCCACCAGAATGGAGAGATCCTGCCAATCAAAATCCTGACTTGGAGCTCAGCTAGTGTGACGCTGGGCTTCCTCTTCCTCACCTCAGTCTTCCTCCTGTCTCTGAGAGCCATGCAGTGCAACAAGACGAGTATAATCAACAATGGAGCCACCGCTTTCTTTCTGTCTGAGCTTATCTTCATCCTTGGCATCAACCAGGCTGATAACCCGGTAAACTGCTCAGCCTTTCTCTTCTTTTTCAGTCACATTTCTGAAGGTTCTTCACTAAATCCTGTTTACAACCACATTCTTAGCTCTTAATCATGTATTTTTAGGGGTAGTTTGTCCCAAACAAATACATTTTTTAGGGCTAAGGGAAATCCTTGAAAAATTACAACTGATAAAGTCAAATCAATATGGTTCTTCATCCATCCATTTTCTAAAACGCTTTCTCCTAAGTGGGGTTGCGAGGGGTGCCTATCTCCAGGTGTCAATGGGTGAGAGGCGGGGTACACCCTGGACAGTTTGCTAGTCCATCGCAGGGCAACACATAGACAGGACAAACAACCATTCACACACACACTCACACCTAAGGAGAATTTAGAGAAGCCAATTAACCTAACAGTCATGTTTTTTGGACTGTGGGAGGAAGCCGGAGTACCCGGAGAGAACCCATGCATGCTCAGGGAGAACATGCAAACTCCATGCAGAAAGACCCTAGGCCAGGAATTGAACCCAGAACCTTCTTGCTGCAAGGCAGCATTGCTACCCACTGCTCCACTGAGCAGCCTCAATAAGGTCCTTATTACTGTTAATTGTTTGTCTTTATTTAATATACAACATTTCTACATTTAAATGTTGACTATTTGACCTTAAACCAACACTAGTGTAACTTCTCTAACTTCATGACATATTTTCATAACTTGCGATTATACATCGACTTACAACTAGTTGAATGACACCTCTGTCATGGCCTGGTGGGGTCTGTGTTGCTTTCTCCAGCACTAGGCAACTTTAAGGAGGGTGGCAGTAACCCTGCCATACAACACAACTACAGATATGTGGACTGCTTTATGGCGTACCTCACTTCCCCCTTCCTCCGTCGTAAAAAGACGGAAGTGGATGTGACTAAATTTCACTGAGAGACTGTATGCTCGTGCAAATTGTGCAGGGTTGATGCAACTTTCTCATTGGGATCTATACGTGTGTTTACTGTCAATTTATTGAACTTAACATATTAATCAGTTTTACGTCTTCCAACTCGTCAGTGCATTAGTCCTTGACAGCTTGGGTAAGGGAGGAGGGGTGGCGTGCAGCAATACTGTACCAACTAAAGTTAAACTTTTCTTTTTTTCTACATTGTCATATAAACATTGTTTCGCCTCAATAAATTCATTACCTCATCACTGTTCATCTGTCAAGCAGCCACTAGAAACAGAAATGTAGTTCAATTATTTTGCAGGTGACTGGGACATGAGGATTAACTACGCTATGTTCTGGTCCTCATGCATAATGCTGACTTTCTTCATGCAAAACAATACAGCTTTTGTTCGCAATCACTTTAATGGAAGTAACGATTTTTCCACAGATTACTGGAAACAGTATACTTTTTTTAACTTGAACTTTTTTTTTAATTAAAATGTGTATCAAAAAAGTATTTTTCTTTAAACATTTTCAAGTTCTGTAATCCTATGAAAGAAGTATGTCCTGTTTCCAAAAAGAAGTCAGTTCTTGCTTAAATAAAAACAAAAAACTTCAGTTTTAGATTTATCCAGGATATTCATGATTTTATGCTTAGCTGGATTTCCCGAGGAAGAAAAAAAATTCTAAAGCAGCTCTGTTTAAGTACTAGATAAATTTTAGCCCTAAAGGTTAGGGTTACAGGTCTAGTGCTCCCCAGTGGCTGAAATGTAAATAGTGTTGCTTTAGAACTTTTTTTTTTTTTTTTTTAATAACTATTTACCTAGGCATATACTTTTTGACATATTGGTACCAAATTATCAAATATGTAAATGAATCTTAAAAAGTAGTATTTTTTCTACCAGAAAACCTTTTGCATTTCACCTTTTTTTCTTTGCCACTAAAGCAATGTGTGCTCCAGGCATATATAGAACTAATATGAACCTTTTAAGTCTTGTATGTTTACTGACTTGACATTTTTTAAGAGTTGATCATGCTTTTCCTAAGAGGAATATTTCCATTGTCTCCTGAGTTAAAGGGGGTCTGTGGTGGGGATAACCTGAGGAAATGAGAACCTAATCTGTCTTTCTTCTGCAGTTTCTCTGCACAGTCATCGCCATCCTGCTGCACTTCTTCTATCTGTGCTCCTTCTCCTGGCTCTTCCTGGAAGGGCTGCACATCTACCGTATGATCAGCGAAGTCCGAGACATCAACTACGGACCCATGAGGTTCTACTACCTGATCGGCTGGGGGGTTCCCGCCTTCATTACAGGTCTGCATCCTTATAATGGTCCCTAAATACTGTGTCAAAAGACTGGATTTATTTTCATTTAGCTTTTTATACATAGAAGCAGCAAATGTGAAGATAAGTTGTGCTATTGTAAACTGTGATTAGGAACAGTGATGAGAGTTCTTGCAGTAGCAATCTACTATCTACATTTTATCTATTTGGGTGTTCGCTTCTACCAGCCCCCTTTTAATCCAGGAACTAAAGCCTAATTCCTCGATCTAATTCATGGGGGCAGATGGAACATCTGGAGGAGTTGTTTAATCATATTTTGATACCTTACTTTCTTGTTATGTTGCTTCTTCTAAAGTGTCTGAAATAAAATTATCAATGATTAAACAATAAATGTTAGCATCCTCCGAATAAAGGTAGCATGTGAAAAGTTTAATATAACAGTTTTTTTTTCTTTTATATTTACGTATACGGTTAAATTTGCATATTTGATGCACCAATCAGAACAAATTCCTGTTTTATTTGTGGTAGCATGTATTTACGATATTCAAAGTATGTTGAGATCTTATTTTAAAAGAAAAAACTGCAGCAGAGGAGGTAAAAATAATGTAGTGTTGTGTTTTTCATTCCTGTGTTATGTGGCGTGTTTGCAGGTCTGGCAGTGGGACTGGACCCTGAAGGCTACGGCAACCCTGACTTCTGCTGGCTCTCCATGTACGACACATTGATCTGGAGCTTTGCTGGACCCATTGCCCTGGCGGTGTCGGTGAGTCCCACTTCAGTAGGCTGTCTGCCTAAATGTACTTTACATTAACTTAAAAAGGCATGTGGGTAAAGATGGCAGTTTGTCAGGATTAAATGTGTTGCTTAGCCTTATACAGTAGATGTCACATGTCTGGTGTTTTATCTACAGATGAACATCTTCCTGTACATCCTGTCATCCAGAGCCTTCTGCTCACTGAGACACCACAGCGTTGAGAAGAAAGAGCCCCCAGTGTGAGTGTCCCAGATGTAACAGATGAGTAATGACAGACCAGAGGGAAAGCATCCTCAGGTCTTTAGAAATTTACTCTAACCGTCTTCGTTTGGTCTCCATCCTGCAGCTCAGGCCTGAAGACCGCTGTCGGTGTCCTTCTCTTGGTTTCCATCACATGTTTCCTTGCACTCCTCTCAGTCAACAGCGACATGATCATCTTCCACTACCTGTTTGCAGGCTTTAGCTGTGTGCAGGTGAATGAACCGCAGCTATGATCTCAAGCAGCTGAAGGGTTTTAGTATACTGAGTTGACCTTCTATAATTTCTCTGTTTGGAACATTTTCAGGGTCCTTTTGTTTTCTTTTTCCGCATCGTCTTCAATCAGGAAGCAAGGAAGGCCATGAAATACTGCTGCAGCAGGAAGCGTCCAGATCACATGATCAAATCTAAGGCTTCGGTGAGTTTCCCATCACAAACACAGAGGTGGAGCCTTTTTAATCCTTACTATCAGATCAATTCATCATCAAAAAATAGTTTAGGGCTTTACTTATATTTTTTCTTACCAGTACCTTTACTTTATGTATATTTTTCTTTGTTCTTTTTGTCGAAATGTTTATTATTTTTAAATTAATAACAACTTTCATTACACAAATCTCTGATTTTGGTTTAGGAATTTTAGCTTTAAGAATAAGAAGATGTTTTAATTTCAGACTTTCACTTTTGATCCCTGTAACATCCATCCATCCATCCATCCATCCATCCATCCATCCATCCATCCATCCATCCATCCATCCATCCATCCATCCATCCATCCATCCATTATTTTAGATTTCCCTTTATCCTAAAACACCTTTTCTCTTTTATTCCAGAGCTACAAATCCAATACCAGCTACATGGATGGAAGGTTGTACCACCTCCCCTTTGGCGACTCCAGCCTGTCTTTAAATGGCACCATGCAGAGTGGGAAGAGCCAGCAGAGCTATGTGCCATTTACCCTCCGGTTAGAAAAATATTTACCAATCAGATGTCTGATGGTGCTGCCTGAGTGGAATAGCTATGAGTTTCACGCTCTGTTTTTTTTTTCAGAGAGGAAGGACTTAACAACAGCCAGGCTCACATAGCTTTAAACGAGCAGACGTCACTCTTCCAAGAAAAGAAGGAGAACCCGGACGGTACTGTCTTTGATCCTCCTTAGCAGCACTGGTTCGGTCTCTGTGCTTCACCTAACCCTTTATCTGTTTACACTGTAGATCATGACAGTGACTCAGACAGCGATCTGTCCCTAGAGGACGACCAGAGTGGATCCTACACCTCTACGCAGTCCTCTGACAGCGAGGACGAGGAGGGCCCACTCCCACCAGAGGAATGCTGGGAAAATCTGGCGTCTAATGGGACTAAGAGGCCACAACTACATGGTAAATAGGCAAGAATCACTATACAAATATAGGTACATTAACTGTTCTGTTCTATTATGAAAAATAAAAAAGCTGTATGTTAGGAATCAATATCTGTTGTGAAAAACAAAGCATCACCAGATTGGTGCAAAGAGAGGGATCTTTTACTACATCTATATGTCAGACAATACGTTGGTCAGCTGATGATTCTGGCCAATATTGGCAGTTGTTTGCAGCCCTGCCATAAGATCATGCATTGCTGCTCTATCCATTTAGAATCCATTGTTAATGTTTCTTTTTTTATAAATGTTTCTTTTTTTCTTTAAATTAGGACTTGTTTACCATTTTTGATCAAGATGGGCCCTCAAAGATGGGCCCTCAGAAAGTCAACAGCACATATTGGGGATCAGTTAGACCAGAGGTTCCCAAAGTGGGGGTGGGGGGGTCATCTACGCCCTCTGGGGTAGACCCAATGTAATTGCAGGAGTCTGCTAAAAATGAACTACATACATTGCCCATTTAGAGATGTTTTTTTTTATGCTGTATTGAGAGCAAAGATGAATTCCAATAAATAGTTAAGTAATTAGTTAAACTTAAGATAATTGCTCTTAAAAATTGGCAGTTTTGTAATTTGTAATAAGGCTGTTGTTTATTTTACTGCAATGTAAAAGGTTTAAAGTCGGGCATACACTGTACAATTTTTTGCCCTTTTTGGGCCAACTTTCTAGTAGTGCGAGAATTTTTGGATCGGATCGATTTTCAGCTTGATTGTCCATCGTATATTGTGTAGTGTACAGGGGGTAACGAGGGGCGATCAGCCTCTCACGACCACCTCCCTATCAGGAATCAAGATGTCTCGCTTAGTGGTAATCGCAAACAAGGACTCTTCTTCTTCTTCCTCACAGACAAAAACATGGCGGGGGTGCGAGTCAAGTTCTTTCTGTAGAATTGACAGACCATAGTAGCCACGTTTGCTCAGCCATGTCTTTGTCCAAATATGTCGTCGCCTTTTCTTTTTAGAGCTTTCGGCTCAAAATTGCAGAAATTGCCAAGGCAGCGCGGTTCACTCTAGTGAGCTTCATATTCCTCTTCTACTCGTTTGGCTTCAGGATGGATGAGTCCGGGTAGTGCCATCTCACTGAGGAGCTGAGTCCGACATGGTTTTTAGACATCCAGTGTGAGCAGGTAGATCGCATCAGAACGTGAGAACATACATTGTGAGCTGTAGCTGCATGCAACGATTAAAAAAATCACAGTGTATGCCCGGCTTCAGTTTTTTAAAAGTTGGATCTGCAGAACGGGGGGAGGGTGTTCAGTAATGGAGGAGGTGTGAAAACTTTTTTGTAAAGCAAAGGCAGGCCCAGCAAGTTAGAACCACTGGACCGTACTTAAGTCAAAATGATCGGTGTTGGTATTGGTCTAAAGAATCCTGTATCTTTCGATCACTAATCTCCTCCCACCGCCTCCTTCCTGAGCCTGTCATCTATGTAACATTGCATTAACGCTGTACCTGTCTTGGTGGAGCAGTGGTTGGTGCACATGCCCCATGTACGGAGGCCTTAGCCCACGACGTGACCGACATGTGGTCCTTTGCCGCATGTCTCTCCCACTCTCTCATATCCCCTTTCCTTGTTGAAAAAACAAGGCACTGGTGCCTTAAAACCTCATTAAAAGAAAAAAACATTACAAGTCTCAGTAGGGTTTAACAAACTCTAAAACAACAGAAATCTTTTTTCTTTTTTTCTTTTATCATACCTACTGTATAAATGATACCCATGTAGATCAACATCTGATCGCTGCAATAAAGACTTGGCGACACAGGAAGCTGTTCCATAATGGAGTCAATGCATCCTCTTTGGATCCAATAAATCATTGAATTCCACACCTTTGGTCCTAATAAACATTCACTGTTCATAATGGTAGCACATTGAATAGGCAAACAAAACTTACCACATTTGCTCTGCAGTCTGCATTGTAGGATAGGAAACAATGCAACAGATTTAGTCTCATCTGACCAAAATACTTGCCTTTAAAATCTCAACACAGTTTAACCTTTTTTGATCCAGATTTGGTATACATACTCAGACATCTGGAGTTATGGTAATCCTAAGTGCTGACATAAAATGCATCTGGATTCCTTTATAGGTTTCTGGAGGGTGTTTTTTTTTATCTCCCATTAAGAGGATTATATAGACTGAAAAAGATAAATATCAGTTGTGATCTCGTTACATGTATGAATATTTAAATGTCTGTTAAACTTTCAAAGCTGAGCTGTGGGTGTTCGAACACCTTTCATTAATAATTATAGTAATTTCCCTCTGGGATTATTAAAGTATGTCTGATGCTGATTAAATTATTCCTTATATTTACCTTTGAGATTGTAGGTGAGGACAGAGACTTACTGATCCCACAGCATCCTTTTTTTTTTAGCTTTTAAAGAAATATTCTCTTAAGTGTAGATAAGGCAAGTTTAGAAGAGCAAATAATATTTTCTAAGCCATTTTCCAACTCAGCCTTACCTAAATTCATATTTTCTCACCTCCCCCCCATTTTGAAGAGTGGATAATAATGTATTTATCATATTACAGGTGCTGGTCATAAAATTAGAATATCATGAAAAAGTAGATTGATTTCAGTAATTCCATTTAAAAAGTGAAACTTGTATATTATATTCATACATTACATACAAACTCATATATTTCAGATGTTTATTTTGTTTAATTTTGATGATTACAAATGACAACAAATGAAAATCTCAAATTCATCATATCAGAAAATTAGAATATTGTGAAAAGGTTCAAAATTGATGGCCCCTGGTGCCACACTCTAATCAGCTAATTAACTCAAACCACCTGCAAAAGCCTTTAAATGGTCTTTCAGTCTAGTTCTATAGGCTACACAATCATGGGGAAGACTGCTGACTTGACAGTTGTCCAAAAGACGACCATCGACACCTTGCACAAGGAGGGCAAGACACAAAAGGTCATCGCTAAAGAGGCTGGCTGTTCACAGAGCTCAGTGTCCAAGCACATTAATAGAGAGGCGAAGGGAAGGAAAAGATGTGGTCGAAAAAAGTGTACAAGCAAGAGAGATAACCGCACCCTGGAGAGGATTGTGAAACAAAACCCATTTAAAAATGTGGGGGAGATTCACAAAGAGTGGACTGCAGCTGGAGTGAGTGCTTCAAGAACCACCACACACAGACGTATGAAAGACATGGGTTTCTGCTGTCGCATTCCTTGTGTCAAGCCACTCTTGAACCACAGACAGCGTCAGAAGCGTCTTGCCTGGGCTAAAGAGAAACAGGACTGGACTGCTGGTGAGTGGTCCAAAGTCATGTTCTCTGATGAAAGTAAATTTTGCATTTCCTTTGGAAATCAAGGTCCCAGAGTCTGGAGGAAAAGAAGAGAGGCACTTCATCCACGTTGCTTGAAGTCCAGTGTAAAGTTTCCACAGTCAGTGATGGTTTGGGGTGCCATGTCATCTGCTGGTGTTGGTCCATTGTGTTTTCTGAGGTCCAGGGTCAACGCAGCCACATACCAGGAAGTTTTAGAGCACTTCATGCTTCCTGCAGCTGACCAACTTTTTGGAGATGCAGATTTCATTTTCCAACAGGACTTGGCACCTGCACACAGTGCCAAAGCTACCAGTACCTGGTTGAAGGACCATGGTATCCCTGTTCTTAATTGGCCAGCAAACTCTCCTGACCTTAACCCCATAGAAAATCTATGGGGTATTGTGAAGAAGAAGATGCAATACACCAGACCCAACAATTCAGAAGAGCTAAAAGCCACTATTAGAGCAACCTGGGCTATCATAACACCTGAGCAGTGCCACAGACTGATCGACTCCATGCCACGCCGCATTGCTGCAGTAATACAGGCCAAAGGAGGCCCAACTAAATACTGAGTGCTGTACATGCTCATACTTTTCATGTTCATACTTTTCAGTTGGCCAACATTTCTATAAATCCTTTGTTTTTATTGGTCTTCAGTAATATTCTAATTTTCTGATATGATGAATTTGAGATTTTCATTTGTTGTCATTTGTAATCATCAAAATTAAACAAAATAAACATCTGAAATATATGAGTTTGTATGTAATGTATGAATATAATATACAAGTTTCACTTTTTAAATGGAATTACTGAAATCAATCTACTTTTTCATGATATTCTAATTTTATGACCAGCACCTGTATATCATTTTCTTTGTGTTGCCCCTGGAAGACTAAACTTAATTTTTGTCACTTTATTTTTCAGACAGCAGTTTAGGAAGGATGCACTGGCCTGAGGATTACACAGTGGGTAACGGCGAGTTTGCAGGTGGAGAAGGATCAAAGATGGACAGTCCAGAGTCAGCCCAACCAGTTCTGGGCCATAATCTGCGCTCATTATCAGACGACAGGTCACCGGACAGCATGACAGTACTGCTGCCTGTCTTTCCAAACCTCAGCACCCACCCTCACAGAGGTACGTTCTATAAATCACAGCAACCAGGCATCTGTATGAATGACACACATATTAAATCTTAGCTCAGCAAAGAAATCAGACAAGAAATAAGAAGACATGTCATGTGGAATAAATAAATAATTATATATTGATGTAAATGTTGCAGTACACTCTAGTAAAATTGAGGTAAAGTGGGAATTAATACATTAAATAAATTAGTTGATTTCTTATTATTTACACTGGATATGAAAATAATTAATTAAATGTAGCTGTCATTTAAGTCAGCACTCTACACTAGAATAAATGAATGAATAATTAAATTAGATGTGTCCTTTGCATCATTACAGTAAATAAAAGTAGAAATACATTAAACAAGTGAGTTTATCTATTGCTATTGAAATACTGAATAATTTTGTTAAAAAAAACACAAAAATAAAATCATTTACATTTGTGTTCATTATTTGTTCAAGATATTTTAATTATTTACGTTTTTTTTTTTCCTTTTGTTTAAATGTTTACATTTGTTTTTTTAGATAAAATAGAAAATAAACTAATCAAAATGTTTCAGGACGTAATTTTATTTTTACTTTTATTTACATAATGTAATTTCATATAGTACATACAATTACATTTTCTTTCGAATATAGACAATTATTGAAATTATTAAAAGCTCATTTAAATAATTTGTAGATTCAGGTATTATTTATTAGGTTTTCTTATTTTTAGAGATCACGTTTTAATATTTCAGATAAGTAATATTGTTAATTGTGTTATTTTATTCACTGAATACTTGCTCCTTTACAATACAGGCAACCTTAAAATAGTTCTATATGCATTTAGACAGAAGGTGTGTTACTGCATTTTTAGGTAATGTGTTTCTCTTACATTGACAGATTGAAGTAATAATCCTGTGGCGCTTTGGGGCTCCTGTACTTAATTTTTTATCCAGGGATCCTAAAGAAGAAGCAGCTTTCTCCCATCGTAGAGAGGAACAGTCTCCATCATGTCCACAGTGAACCTGTTGGAGGAACTCCTGGCACAGCCTCTCCACAGGGATCCTCCTCCAGTCGGACCCGAGCCGGGCCTCCTAAACCCGGCGTACAGGAGCAGCTGAACGGCGTGGCCCTGAGCATCAAGGCAGGAACGGTGGACGGCGACTCTTCAGGGTCAGAGTGAGTGTCAGAATGTACAAATCCACATTTAAACTACTGTGAGCAACACAAACATTTCATGAAAGAAATAAGTGCTGTTTCCTAGCTGTCTGTGTCTCCCCCTGCTGGCAGTGTGTGGTACAGCTGTCTATTTATATTCCAGTTTGTCCTGTTGTTCTCAGTGACTGTTGTTTTCATCAATCACTTGAATGTGTAGCCTCGCTGTGTAAACGAACACAACACCTGTCCCATTGTAAATATTTAAGCTTTGTTCTCTAATCCATGAAACAAAATAAGGGTATATAACAACGTGACAGAAACTTGTGAGGCTGCTTGATTCCCCATTGTTAAAGAAACTTCAAATCTCTATAGGTACTTCTTATGTGGCACATATATATAAACCTTTTTACAGATGCTCTGTTTTCTTTTCCATCGCTAATAAAGTACAACAAATTAAAATAAATTCATGGACAAATTTTGTAGGACAACAAAAAACTTACTTCATGCAACGCAGATAGACAAATGTCTTTGGTTTTTCTCTTTAACATGCACATAGTTGTCCTCAAACACTTATGTAGATATATAGATATATAGCATTTTTGCACTTGTGATAAATGTGCACAAATTCTTGAAATTTATTTATTTATTTATTTAATGAACATTTCTGTAAATGTATCAGTATTAGCTGTTGTCAACTGTTGTCCCTGGACAAGGTGTATAATGCCAACTACATTCATAAAAGAATTATAAAACAAACATAGATATTTTTAAAAAATGAAGCTACATACTTACAAGGGCAGGTCATGCAGTTCGAACAGAGACATTAGTATAAATATGTGCAGATAAATCAATTAATCTCTGCTAGAGTAATCTTGCACAGAGAAAATAGGGAAAAAGAACTTTCAAGTGAGTTCAATTATTCATCGAAGGAAAAAAAGATTTAGAAAAATCCCTGTCTTTTATTAAATTACTGGTATCATCATAATTGATATCTTAGATTTCATAGAAAGTATGTGCTGTGGGCCTTTAATAAAGAACGTTTATGGAGGATTTATAAGATGGTAATAAATTGTCATTGATTCCTCAGCAGAATACTGTCTTCACATATTAATACCTCTGAATGACATTCATAGCTATTTTAGAATTTCTATAATGCATCTTTCTATGTTGTCAACAAACATATTGATAGATATCATAATGGACACTAATTATTCTTCTTTACATGTTTTCCATTTCCAAAAACAAACCGTCAGAGTCTTATACTTTCAATTTATCCCATGAAGCTCTGATTAAGAGCGAATCAGGATCTTCCCATCAGTGAATCGTTTTAGCATCCACCTTCAGCCGCCTGTTTGTGCCTCTGCTTTATCATTTACTCTCATTTGTTCCCTTTTTCTCTCTCGTTTTCTGTCCTGTTCATCTGTAACACTTTACACTTTCATCTGCACTCATCCTCCTCCACACGTCATCCCTCCCACCTCTCTGTCTCCCAGCAGCCACTGCAACAGCTCCATGTGACCCATGCTGATGGAGGGATGTATCTTTGCAGGTCGTAGAGCCTCCCTCTTCTCACAAGGAGCGCCAGACGCCACTTTGAACTCAACGAGGAGGCAGGAAGAGCCCTCTTCATCATCATAATGCTCTAAAGGAGAGAGTGTGTGAGTTCGTACGTGCGAGCCAAAACTTCAGGAGTCAGAGCACACTGATGAAACAAGCCGCCCTTTAAAGAATTTTTGTTTACATACTTGAAGAAATGCACTTTTTTTTATTTTATTGATGGTCAACCTTTTTTTTATAGTTTTTTTTTTTTTTTTATTCCTGGATATGAATACTGTTTTGAAGTCTGTGTTTGGGCGGGTTGTTTAGATGTAGGCTCAAACATTCAGGGATACCTCTTTTTATGGTAATTTGTTAGCTGTTTTGAGGCGATTCTCTGCTTGCTCTGTGCCTGCTCCAGATCAGACTCAGGTTATTGAGTCAGAGGAGAAGTCAAAGGACAGTAAACTTTGGGTCATGTGTGTTTTTGTGAACCGATGGATGCTGAACAGAACTTTAAATCAGGAGAGAAAGAAAAAACATGTTTAAACCAGATAATTACATACTCTGTATAAAAAAAGAAGTCTAATTCTTTTCCTCTCCCATTTCATTAAAGCAGATAAGTTAAGTTTAAGGTCAGTCAGGGTTGCTTAAAAATTTAGTCATGCTTAATTCCAGATTATCTTTGAACTCATTTTCACACCTTTCCTTAAATTCAGAAGTTGAAATAATTGTTCATAGTTTTCAGTAGAAATGCCGTTAAAGTATAAGATTCTGGTCAGATATTTAATGTATCGCTCCACAAGCATCTTACAATAGTTTGCTGGCATTTTAGACCTTTCTAAAACTGAGATCTGGGACTGAGATCATGTGACATTGCCTACCCAAGGCTGATTTATACTTCTAAACTAGGTTGTCTGCGTAGGTGTTGCACTGAACTCAAAGATGGCCCCTCTGCAGACACTATGCTGCACCTCTCCCAAATTGTAGGTCAGACAGTGCCGCAGACAGGAGGCCAGCTTGTTTTTTTTTTTTTATGACTGAAATTGCGGAAAACAACTCGTGAAGTTTGACCCGCTAGAAGAGTGAGGTGCAAGAGAATGCTGGGACCCTTTTTCCACCTGGACTTTTTCGCCCTCATGTCCCTCTGTTGTCAGGCAAACTTGCCCCAACTTCTTCATCACCTCGGCTGTATCTAGACCCACAGTGTATACCACAGACCACGCTTCAATTTTGAGCATAAATCAAAAATGTCTGCGTAAAGCTCACTGCGACACACTGCTGCGGGAGTATAACCAGAAAACCTGTTGGTGCCTAAGCTTCTATTTCCTGGTTGCTGTGTAGAAATTTTACTTTATCTCCATATTTATTCCACATGATGGCGTTCATTTTTATGAAGTTAACCAGCCACTGCTGCAGCAAAACATGATGCCGCCACCTCCGTACTTTAACTTGGGATGCAGATTGGGATCCAAAAATGACAGTGATCATAATGACTGGTATTAGTTTAAATTGGCAAAAGGACACAGCCTAAAGATAAGCTTCTTGTCCAGGAAAGCATTTAAAAAATGAAATCAGTTTTTTTTAATTGCTCCTTTAGATGTTGAGAAATAGTCTTTGGTAATAAACCAGAGGAGTAAAGCTCCACAGGCCTCCTACTGAAATCTCAACGTCACACAAATATACTCAGTGTTTGTTTTTTTCCTCAGGTTACATCCATTAGTTTAACTTAAATTTCACTAAAGCATGTATCTGTGTTTAGCAATACACATTTCCTCTACATTTACACCATTTAGAAAATAACATCTTATTTAATTATCCTGACTGACCTAAAACAGGGAAAACTTTAGTCTGATTAATTTCACAAAGAGGAGAAACATTTCATTAAAGACAGTGTATGTATGCGGTTTAAACTGTTAATGATCAACATAAGCTATGTCTCGACACTGAAAGTTTATTGAATCTTCATAAGTAGAGAAATTAAAAGACATTTTCTGTTTGTTTATAAGAATTGCCAGGGGCTCGTTTTCACAGACGCTCTCGGATTTCCTCGTTATATATAAGGGATGAACACATTTGAGTTCAGTGACTAAACGGCTGTATTTTATAGAGTAGAGACACACCGTTATGACTTTTTGTAAAAAATGAGTTTCATCGGATGTAATACATTTGTGTACAGAGTGGCCTGTAAATGAATCAAGAACATATCTTTAAAAGTATTTAGAAATGCTCTGAAGGAAATATCTGCGTTACTGCTGTTGTTGATGCCATTTTTTTTTTTTTACAAACATAGATTAATGTATAAACTTCCTGCCATGAAGAGAAACACTGCAGAATCATTCGTGGTGTAACACTGATGTCCAAACAAAGGATTGTCTCTTTTATTCTACCACTCCAGTTTCTACAAAATAAACAGTTTTTGTACCACTTTGGACTTTTTGATTCAATTTAGACGGCATTACTTTAATGCATTTTGTTTTAATACTTTTAGGGCCGGATTTATCAAAGGTTTGCGTGTATAAAAACGTGAGCTATTTCACTGCGCACGCTAAAAAATGTACAAACTGATCTATCAACAGCGTGCTAAAAGGATTTGGCCTTTAAAATGTGCTAAATAGCGCCTGTTATCCATTTAGTACTTTTTCTGCAATGAATATGCAATATGGGGCGTTTACACGCAAAAGTGCGTCTTGTGGGAGGAGAACATGTAAATATATTAATTTAGCACTCGCAAAGTGATTTATCAAACCTGAAAGCAATTTTGCTTACGGTATCTGACTCTATATTTAACACGTTTCAAAAGAAGGTGCAAATGGTCTGTATGCGTAATTGCGCACACATGGCAGCGGTTATTGTCGCAAGAAGGAGACATCGAAATGAAGCAAGGAGACGCTGAGAACGCATTTTTTCACTCCGTGTGAATATTTTTGGAATGAACGAGGAAACAATCAAAACATATCGTTTATCCAGCATTGCCATTTTGGAGCTGCAATTCCAGTGATTTGCTCCTCACAGAGCGTCAGCTGTACTTGTTCCTCAATGCTGGTCAGAGGCATCTCATCTACTGTGCCCCCTCCTGTTTTGTTCGCAGATGTTTTGTTATATGCCAGTTTTTCTTTGGTTCGCCTTCTAATATCCTGGTATCTTCTTTTTACTTCATCCACTGTTCGCAAGGTTTCACCAACAGCGTTTACTTTATTACAGATTTGTTCACATATAGCGTTCCTCTGTGTGACAGTCACACTTCTTTGCTGTCCAAACTCGCCATGCCGCAAACCACCAAACGCGCAAAACCATCATTTAAATAGGGCGTCTCCAACAGTTTTGCACCTGCCACCAGTTACGCAATCGCTCTTGTTAAATCACCCGCATACCATGGTTCAGCCCCTCGCGCAAAATTCCAGTTTGCGAGCGCAAATTACCGCACGCAAAATTGGATCTTGATAAATCCGGCCCTTACTGATTCAAACATGTAAAATTTCTGTTCCATATTGCATCATTTTAAAACATTTAATATCCATCATTTTGCAAGTGTTGGGCTGCACGGTGGAGCAGTTTGTGGCACTGCATCAATAAGGTTCTGGGTTCGATTCCTGGCCCGGGGTCTCTCTGCATGGAGTTTGCATGTTCTTGCGACAGACTGGCGACTTGTCCTCTCACCCATAGACTGCTGGAGATGGGCACCGGCCCCCACCGCAACCCTGACGGGACTAAGCGGGAGAAAATGGATGGATGGATTCTGCAAGTGTAAAATCTTTAACCATTTATTTAACCGCAGCTCAAACAACGTTTATAGGCAGTTTTATTATATTAAAAATGCTTTTGCTCTTTACCTATTCAGAGCTTGATTTAGCCATAAAAACATTCCTTGAGATCAAAGATCTGTTCACCAACCGCATCCTGGCCAAGACCTGCATCATGACTGAAACAGACCTGTAGTCAGATCATTAAAACATGAACAAAACGCATAAAGGTCTAAGAGTAGGTCATAAGAGTAACAAGCAAAACCAGACCACTTAACACCTGGTATCTAAGTGGATATTTTAAAAGATAACAGGCTTTACAGAATGAACAGGGTTACAGTTTAAGCTCAGGCAGCCAAGCAATGATGTTTTAGACACCATAATAATCCAACTAAAAGCCTTTATTTTCCTCAGGTTCTAGGGCCATATGCTGTTGTGTTCCTTTCAACAGTATTCACACCCAAACTAAAGCATTATTTCATTAGGAATTCATGAAAAAATACCAACAAAAAGTAGCAGTGTTGTAAAACAGAAGGAAACGATTCATGATTTATTCAACCTTTCTGAGTGAATATTTTTTAAAACACTCTTGTATCAGTTGGAGCAACAAGTGTTCTGGGGGATGTCTACGAGCTTTGACTAGGCCATTTTACACGCCATGTGAAAATGCTACCAGTCTCAGGTTTAAAGTAGCCTCCTGCAGGTTATCCATGATGCATTTTGCACAAAGGTCTGATAGTTAATCTTTTATTATCTAATCAAACCATCTCTGGTTACCTACAATTGCCCTGTAGCTTGTAGGTAAAGCGCAAACCTCTTATTTTTGTCCATTTGAATGAAAGTCAGTCGGATAGTCCACATGTAATTTATCCTATTAGCAGATTCTACCACTGTTGACCTCAGCAGCCCCTCCAGCGTAGCCATGGTGGAGTTATTTATTTTAGTGTGTAGTAGTCATTCATCTTCAATCATTTGAAAAATTAACAAAAACAAAAAGGTGATTTCCTTTTCTAGGAAGGTATAAAAGCTACCTTTTATCACTTGTGTATTCCAGCCACAAAATACATTTAAAAATCGTTTTGTTGTAACAGCTCATTTTATTTAAAAAAGAAAGATGTTTTTGAATAGATGCAGACAGTTTAAATACAATCTAAAATCAATCTTACACATTTATATTTTCGATAATACTTGGAACAAACCATTTTTAAAACAATTCGCATCTAGAAGCATTTCGTTGTTGAAGTAGCAATTAGTCCTGTCGCTACAATGAGAAAAGAATAGTGTGGAGTTTTTATACAAATACACAAAACACAAACAATAAAATACATTTGCACACCCTTGGTTTTTTTATCAGCTCCTTATAAATATTGCAAATCCACCACCAGAGAACGAGCGGGACTGCTTTCATTGGTCATCTTTCATCGGCCTGCTCAGCTCTGATCTTCACAAATACAACAAAAAAAGAAAGAAAACTTTTCTGTTAGTTCGTTTGAAGTGTTTTCAGTTTGAGTCCTCTAAGCTGCTGCTTTTCTGCTCCGAGCTGCAGTTGCAGAGCCGATGCATAATGCTTTGCAGGCTGGGCTGCACGATGCCGAGCAGGGGTCTGAGGGAAGGGTCCCCGTTCCAGCAGGCCTCCATCAGCTGCCAGCATTCCTCATCGAAAGTGGGCAACCGCTCCGGTCTGGAACCTGAAAAGATTGACATGTCTGAGCGCCCGAAGGGCGACAGAAACCTGACAGGGACCACATATCCTCTCACAAATGGTTTCATGTTTTCCTTAAGCTCCCTCTGATGAAAGGTAGGAATCATAGTGAACTCTATGAAAGCTGAGAGGGTTAAAGCCGACTGCATTCATTTTAAGGATAAGCTTTTTGAGGTCTTTTCTCATAGTAAATTTATTCAAACTAATGCCAACTGGCAAACTTCTGTTAAACTCAGAGATTAGGGTTCACATGGAGTCTAATTCTTATCAAGCTGGTTCAAGAGCTGAAACCATGTTAGACCCTGGTTAATTACATTTATGTTTCATCCTTTTCCTGTTTATTGTTAAACTAAAAGCTGGGCAGATAGGTGTTTCTCTGGCTTTAAATATCAGCTACCATCTTCAATCTGGTTTTGTAAAGACCAGCAAAGAGCCAGCTGGCCCCATATGAGGCAGAGAGAAAACATTTCTGATCAAAAGTTAAGACTAAGTAAGACCTAGTCTGCACAGCAGTTGATCTTTACCAAGGTAGTGTTGGAAATGTTTTTCTCCCGCTGTGAGGGGTTTCATCCTTCCTAAAGAAGAACCTAAAAGCGCTGCTTCTGTGCTTCTCCCACATGAGGAGATGTGGGAGAAGCAGTTAAAGTTTCATAACAAATGAAAAATCTTCAGTTCCAATGACAATATGTTAATATATATATATATACATGTTTCATATATTGGACTTTAAAAGGCTTAAATCATGAACCTTTACCTTAAAAAATTAAGCAAAATGTTTGCATTTAATTTGATGACAGAAAACATCCTCCATATATATGTATTTGTTTCCATAAAACAAAATCCTTCAATAGTTACTGTCAAGGGATCTAGTCACAATTAACCTTAGTAGGGAACACTAAAAGGATATTTCTGAGTTTTCCAAGTTTGGAAAACAAAAACCATCTGATTTCTATTCTATAAGCATAAAAAGTATCTGATTCATAAGGGACACCTTTACCTTTCTTGACATTGTTCCAAAGCTGATCCTTGCTTGAGCATCTCTCAAAGGCTTCTGGAAGCTTCACTGCACCCGTGCAGAGATACCAGAACAAGATCCCGAAGGCGTAAACATCTACAGAGTTATCGTACTTCCCTGTTAGGAGAAAACAGCCAGAGGAGCCTGTTACTCTACATCTGGATTAAAAAAGAAACATTTAAACATTTACTTCTATTGTCAACTTTAAACCCTTTCACACTTTTTCAAGTTCCATTCCCGTCTTAGTGGCCTTTAATGGGATTTCATCTGGCAGAGCAAGTGGAAGGAGAACAATGAAGGATTTTCTAAATGCTGAGTATCTAAACTGACAAGCAGGGCAAAGGCAGGATCATTCAGATTAGATCCCAATAGGGGCAGCAGAGATCAACAACTAAAGATCTGGGCCAGTTTTCACAAAGAATCCTTGGACTAAAACTAACTCTTGGGGGTTAAAAAAATAAAAAAGATTTCTTTAACTTTATCTCAATATGATAAAAGCCATTCACCATTGACTCCTAAAGTCAAGAAATGTTATGAGTAGAACGGAGGATTTTTAACAAGCAGAGAAGATGAAGGAAACAGAGAGCAGTTTGGCTGATCCACCCAAAAACAAAACACCGGAGTAAATGAGCACAGAAACTTCTTTGACATTAAACCATTATCAATATAGAGATTGGATCAACTTTATTATTGGCATACGGAGAAATCAAATAGGGTTTATTTGATAACAGGAAAAAAATAAGTTATCATGAATACAAATGGAGAATGTACAAATGTATATACATTTATAAGGAATTTCAATATTATTACAGATTTTGAAATACTTTTAATAATGAGGTCATAGAATATTATTGCCCACACTAGACAATAAAAGGTACAATAATACCCACTCTTTATGCATGGAGGGAGGATGGAACTGAGTCTTCATAGAAGAGCTTCAATAAGACAGCCACTGCTAACAATCAAAACATTTCATGTGATGGACTACATGTCAATCTGAAGAGTCCACTTCTGTGGTGAAGGATTGGTGGTGGCAGCATCATGCTGTGGGGATTTTTAGTTCACCAGAACTAGAGAAGGTGGTCAGAGCTAAAGTTTAAAACAGCATTTTAAAATAGTCTTTTTATCTAAAATCTGTCTTTTAAATCTAAATTAAAACCTTTTCTCATCTTTTAACCTCTTTAAGTAAGTTTTACACTCTGTTTCTAGCCGCCTGGACTACTGCAATGCACTTTATCCAGGGATTAGCCAATGAGATGTCTCTCCCATCTGCAGTTAGTCCAAAACACAGCGGCTCGTCTTTTAACCGGGACCAGAAAACATCAACGCTTTCCACCAATTCTTGTGCCTGTTCGTTTAGTTGATTTTAAAATTTTATTGTTTGTGTTTAGAGCTTTGAGTGGAATTGGCTCCTCAATACATTACCAACCTCCTTCAGATATACTCCCTGGCACATGCTCTGAGGTCCATCTTTAACTAATACCAGAGGGGACAGAGCCTTTTCTGTAGCTGGCCCCAGACTGTTAAATACTTTTCCCCTCTATATACGAACAGCCTTCACAGTGTAGTTTATTAAGTGTCATTTTTAGACCCACTTTTACTCTTTTTCTTTTAACAACGCATAAGTGTGTGGTCCTCTGTGTCCATTTTATTTATTTATTCATTTTAAACTCTTATTGCGTTTTGTGTGTGTGTGTTGGGTTCTTGTTTTGTCTTTATGTACAGAACAGTGAAAAAAATATTTCTTGTTAAATGTGCGATATGAATCAAGTGGATTGGATTTGATTGGACAGAGAGGGCCATCAGAGCATGTACAGCTTTCCCTCCACTTCATAACTATGAACTACTTGATAATGGAATGAAAGAAAGTTTTTGGCTGTAATGTGACAAAACATAGAAAGGTTAAAGGAATGGCAATAGTTTTGTGAGACAGTGGCTGCTCAGTGGGAGTACCTGTAAACAGTTCTGGAGCCATATGGATGGGAGTCCCAACAATGCTGCCAGACATCATGGCCTCTGGTTTGCAAAAACCCAGATCTGTGATCTTTGCACGATTTTGCTTGTCCAACTTAAAGAGAAAAAAAAGATAGTTTTATTAAGTCATGCAAAAAAAAATTACACCTTAAAAGACAAAATAATATTAATCACAAAAGCTAAAATATGTGCATATTGCAAACAATAATTAGACAAATTAAAAGCCCACAACAGGTATAACTGGTTGAATCTTTAGTCGCTCTGAACTTACCAGAACATTTTTTAATTTAATGTCTCTGTGTACGAGACCCTGACTGTGCAGGAAGCGGATTCCCTCCACCACATCTAGAGCGATCTGCAGCCTCTCTCTCAGGGACAAACCAGCCTGACAGATTATATAAAAAAACAACAACAACAAAGTAGTTAGGGGAGAAGAACAAGGAGCACTGTTGTTCTCAATCTAGAGCTAGTAAGTTATCAAGTGACCTTTAACCCGGTGTAGAGATCTCGATGCAGTCGCTCCATGATAAGCAGCACGGCGATGCTGGAGCCGTCACCATAGGTGTAATCAATCACAGAGCCGTGCAGGTCGACCAGCCGTTCATGCTTGGGCAGAGATCTGAGGCAACACACACAAACCCACACAGATACGTCAGGGAAACAAATAGATTCTTCTTTTTTTTCTTTATCCAAAAGCAAACATTTGCTTTGCATTCAGAGCACCTGAGATAAAGATCTGCACTCCTGACATTAGCATTTGTTAATGCTTTGATGAGACACCCCTGCTTTACAAAGCAGGTCAAAGTGTCTGAAGCGTTAACTGTCAGAACCACTCTTCCCATTAAAGGGCGTGGTCTGCCTGCTGGAATAAAACCGCTACCAACTGCTGAAAACTGGTCATTTGACATTTCTCAGTGGTCTGATCATTCCTCATACGGCTGAAACCAGATGTTTACATACACTGTTAATAAAGGAACACATCTTTCTTTAAGTCAACCAAAACCAGCAGACCCTCACTATAATTTAATGTGAAAAACTGAGGGGGGAAAGAAATGTTTTAATCTCCTCTTTCTGTACCATGTAAATAAATATCTGGCCTCTACTTTCTGTTGAGTTTGTTGCTAGTGGTTACTAGCTCACCTTGTGTAGTGAAACTCTAAAGCCAAGTCGTTCCAGTGTTTATCGTCAGGTGGAACCACAGACTTCAGGGCACATGGGTAGTGTCCTCCCCAGCTGTCACACAGGTAAACCACTCCATACTGGCCCCGGCCCAATTCATGCCCAAGCTTAGGCTTTCCTGTGAGAAAACAAAAGGACCGACAAAAAACAAAACTTAAAAATTAAAGTATGATAGACACTGAATGTGCGAGAATGAATGAGGCAGTGGTTAAACTTATTCCATCCACACCCCACAGTGGCATATTTGCAATATAAGGAGAATAACAGTATTAAAAGTAAACATTAACAGCAGAACACCCAGACTTCAACTAGTTGCTGCACATCAGAAGCATGGCTGAAAATCTCCACACTTTCTGAAGAAGGGTCAAAGGATAAATCAAAGGTTGAATGGCTGTTATGGGACAGTATGTATCGTGAGTAAACATGGCTGGGTGTTTTGGATAGAGCTGACCAGTCCAAGTTGTTTGCAACACCAGCAGTTCATGCTGTTCAATTCATTCCCTTTATTATCCTAGTTTGTTTTAAGTGCAAGAATTTTTAAAACATTTCTAATTGGCGATCAATGATTTTAACATTTTTTTTTACTCAGTGTCTACAGTGAGGAAATCTGGTTCTACAGGTGCTGGTCATAAAATTAGAATATCATGAAAAAGTAGATTGATTTCAGTAATTCCATTTAAAAAGTGAAACTTGTATATTATATTCATACATTACATACAAACTCATATATTTCAGATGTTTATTTTGTTTAATTTTGATGATTACAAATGACAACAAATGAAAATCTCAAATTCATCATATCAGAAAATTAGAATATTGTGAAAAGGTTCAAAATTGATGGCCCCTGGTGCCACACTCTAATCAGCTAATTAACTCAAACCACCTGCAAAAGCCTTTAAATGGTCTTTCAGTCTAGTTCTATAGGCTACACAATCATGGGGAAGACTGCTGACTTGACAGTTGTCCAAAAGACGACCATCGACACCTTGCACAAGGAGGGCAAGACACAAAAGGTCATCGCTAAAGAGGCTGGCTGTTCACAGAGCTCAGTGTCCAAGCACATTAATAGAGAGGCGAAGGGAAGGAAAAGATGTGGTCGAAAAAAGTGAACAAGCAAGAGAGATAACCGCACCCTGGAGAGGATTGTGAAACAAAACCCATTCAAAAATGTGGGGGAGATTCACAAAGAGTGGACTGCAGCTGGAGTGAGTGCTTCAAGAACCACCACACACAGACGTATGAAAGACATGGGTTTCTGCTGTCGCATTCCTTGTGTCAAGCCACTCTTGAACCACAGACAGCGTCAGAAGCGTCTTGCCTGGGCTAAAGAGAAACAGGACTGGACTGCTGGTGAGTGGTCCAAAGTCATGTTCTCTGATGAAAGTAAATTTTGCATTTCCTTTGGAAATCAAGGTCCCAGAGTCTGGAGGAAAAGAAGAGAGGCACTTCATCCACGTTGCTTGAAGTCCAGTGTAAAGTTTCCACAGTCAGTGATGGTTTGGGGTGCCATGTCATCTGCTGGTGTTGGTCCATTGTGTTTTCTGAGGTCCAGGGTCAACGCAGCCACATACCAGGAAGTTTTAGAGCACTTCATGCTTCCTGCAGCTGACCAACTTTTTGGAGATGCAGATTTCATTTTCCAACAGGACTTGGCACCTGCACACAGTGCCAAAGCTACCAGTACCTGGTTGAAGGACCATGGTATCCCTGTTCTTAATTGGCCAGCAAACTCTCCTGACCTTAACCCCATAGAAAATCTATGGGGTATTGTGAAGAAGAAGATGCAATACACCAGACCCAACAATTCAGAAGAGCTAAAAGCCACTATTAGAGCAACCTGGGCTATCATAACACCTGAGCAGTGCCCCAGACTGATCGACTCCATGCCACGCCGCATTGCTGCAGTAATACAGGCCAAAGGAGGCCCAACTAAATACTGAGTGCTGTACATGCTCATACTTTTCATGTTCATACTTTTCAGTTGGCCAACATTTCTATAAATCCTTTGTTTTTATTGGTCTTCAGTAATATTCTAATTTTCTGATATGATGAATTTGAGATTTTCATTTGTTGTCATTTGTAATCATCAAAATTAAACAAAATAAACATCTGAAATATATGAGTTTGTATGTAATGTATGAATATAATATACAAGTTTCACTTTTTAAATGGAATTACTGAAATCAATCTACTTTTTCATGATATTCTAATTTTATGACCAGCACCTGTATGTCTTAAAAAAAAAAAAGAAAAAAAAAAAAAAAAAAAGAGTTATAGCCATGACTTATTTGGGTTTGATTGGGGATAAATAATGCCAGATTTTATAAACTATTGATAGAAACACCACAAAATGACGATTAGCATTTTTAATAGCAATGTGAAGCAAAGAAAGCATAAGAAAAATGTTATATGTGTAACTGTGAGATTTTTATACAACAGATCTTAATCATAATTGCTTAATTAGCAGGAACAATACATTAATGTGCAGCAAATGAGTACAGAACTGTTGGTCATATTCATGCTATAGAATGCCTTTTGAAGAAAAAACACTTTCCTATAAACAAAGATTTTCTGAGGGAGTTCTTTATAACCAAAACAAATGTTTTTAATTAGTTGCTAATAAAGTTTTATGGTGATTGTTCAAATTTCAATTCCTGGCACCAGCCCAGACAGCTATACTTGTCTTAGCAATTAGGTTTTTTTCTCTCTACTATTTATTCTGATATCACCCATCAGCAGGCATTGTGTCATGCAGAAAATGTTTAGTAGATTTACTATTTTCACCTCAGTTCTTCAACACTGTCTGTCTTTTATTATCATGATCAGGAGGTGTTAAATAATCTAGCTTCAAAAGGACTACAGTACATCTGCTATCAGTCAGATCAGAGCTCAACTGATTGGGAATTAAATGTTTACAACATTCCCACATGTTGCTTAACCCAGAGTTAAAGAATAAAAATGGTGGTATGAGTACATCAGGGTTTAGGCAAATTGAGAAAAATGTTGCAGCTTGCGAAGCTAAACGTCTCCTTACAAAGAGTAAAAAAAATCTGATTAAACCAGACTGAGGGTCAAACATTGTCTGATTTAGAAGTCATTGTACAAAAGGGAAACTACACTGCATCTGACTATGCAGGTAAACACATTCCCCTGGCTTTGTTTAAATGTGCCTCACAGTATATCAGCACACGTGTTGAGGTTCATCCAAAGAGAAGCCCGCTTTACAAGACGCAAAACAATGAGAGTTTATGGGTTTGACTCACCATGCAGCAGCACATCCCTCAGGGAGCGGCTCTCCAAAGACAGCCGGGCCAGTCGAGGGGCGTGGTCCTTCCTCACACGCAGCCACAAGTCTTCAGTGCGCTCTAGACGGCCTGTGTGACCTTCTTCAAGCTGCAAACAAAGACAGGAAAAAAAACTAAAAAAAAAAAACTCAGGTTCGGATATAGACCGAAATAACTTAGATATAAGAGCTTAGTTACACATTTCAATTTAAGATTTTGCGTCCTTAGCTTCTCCATTTTGATTATTAACAAAAAAGAATATTAAAATAAATACTCAAGGCTGAATAATATTTAATGATGAATTCAAAATGAAAATTCAGATATTCTTTATCTTCAGAATAATTCTTATACATCCAGAATTTTTACAATTTGTTTTTGAAATATTTAAAGCTAAATGCCCCGTCTGTCGCCATCCATTCCTGTCTCTAGACTGAAAAGTTGCACAGTGAATCTCAAAAACGGCCCTATATTCCATAACAATCCTGAAAAAAAACTTAAAAATAACACATAAAATAAAATAATATTCAAAAGAAAAAAAAGAGAAAAAAAGCAGAAAATCCCATTTAAATAGATTAAATTAAAGGAACTATAGAAGAGTAATATCCAAGCCTTTGTGCCTGTTCATCTGGTTATTCATATAAAAAATTTACAGCAAAATAATGAAATATTTATTCTGGATATAATTGAGGGATTATTTTTGGTAGAAAATAAAGAATGCTTTTTATTATCTCTCAGGGGCTGGAAGAAAAAACATCTTGAGAGTCAGTCGATCCTTTTTTGCACTTGACTGATGGATTTTTTTCAGCCACATATAGTTTATTAACAGACAGACATGAATGATGTTGAGGGAGTAACGAGCTGCTGAGCTGGGAGGAGTGCATCACAAAGATGGATTGGTGGATGAACACAGCAGGCTGAGAAGAGTTAATCAGAGCTCAAGGCGCATATTGGGCGGATGTTTCAGATATATACGGCAAGTGGTAACGGACCATTTCGGCTGACTTTTAGCCCTGCATATATATATATATATACACATCGTGGGTCACATCATAACCTCCCATGTAAATGTCTTCTGAACTTTGTAAATGTCTTCCTGCTGTCCTTGGGGTCCTTATCAACGTATATTTTATGATCAATGAGAGGTGTTCTTGTTAATATTTATGATCCCCACAAGACAGAAGCCAACAGACAAAAGGAAATAATTATAACCGAGGCAGTTCAGAAAAAGCTCTAAATACAAACCATGTTAATAAAGAGGGAAAAATGTGTTTACATTTTTATTTTCTTCAGTATTTTCCACATCTTTGGGGGCAGCACCTCTAAAAAATAGTCAACCTTTCAACTGAGTATATTTCTTTAACCATTTTTCTCCATTCTGTTACTGTTTGAAGGGTTTGTGATCTTTTTATTTTTTTTTTTTTACACCTTTCGATTTATATAGAACTCTATTACATATAATCTGAACTGTAGTTAATGACTATGTTTTCGCAATTGAGCTTTTGTTCAATGTACCTCTTTTACAATTTCTCACCTAACCTGCATTTCTCTAGGTAAGGATAATATATAGATAATATTTAATATGGCTGGATTTATTCAATAACAGCCTTTATAAAAAAGATTGGATTTCTGACGATTAAATAAAGGCAGCATTTATGGTTTAACTATGGAATCAAAATTATATTTTCAATCTTAATTAAGGTTGGACACATTAACTTAAAAATTTACAGAGAAAAGATAAAGATACGAAAGTTTACATAATTTAAACTAACAAAGAAGAATTGCAGCTATTTGGCATTTGACCAATCAAAAACCCCAAAAAATTAGTCATCAGCTTATCAGACATAGTCTTCATTTCTCTAAGCCTAGTTTTTTTATACGATTATAAATGATTTTACTCCCTAAAAAAAATTTCTAAAATGTTTTATGTACATGTATCAAACCGAACGCTATGGCAACAGTCAAATTGATCTGCTTGTGAAAGCAAAGCTGTTATTTTATCATCTAAATCTGAAATATCTATTCCCAGAGCCATATGGGTGAAACGGGACAAAACAAAGCCTAGTTTATAGGATATAGGAAGTTGCTACATCTCTACAGACTGTGAGCTGCTGTTCAGAGAAGCTGTTCTCAGGGACCAGTGGCCACCTGCTCGACCTCTGATGTTGTAATTCATCAGACTCCTGACTCCAGAGGTCTTGAAAACACACAGTTACTGGATGATAAATTATATTTCCTACAGAGTGTGTTGGTAAATCAACATCTGTAAGGTTGTGTGTAAACATTTTGGTCAGCAGTTCATTTGTAATATTTTTCTCAAGCTCCCAGTGTATCTGGAATTAGGGACAGATGGCAAAGTAATACTTCAGATCATCCATCCATCCATGCATCCATCCATCCAAATAGGAACATGTACAAAAAAAGACCAAAAGAAGTTAATCAGGTGTCGAGCTGTACCAGAGAATGAAAGGAAGAAAAAGTAGAGGAAAGTAATATACTTGGAAGTAAACTTTAAGCATGGCAAGTTTCATGCAGGAAGAAAAACTGTTTGGAAAACTGAGCTAGATTTAAACGAAAGGTTTTTAACAGTTAGATCTTTTTCAGGAATATTATTTATTCAACACCTGCAGGCAAATACAGCAATGTTTGCACTACTTTACATTCATCACATACTTTCAAGGTATTGTTTGTACTTCTAACCCCTTTCCCTAATGCAATGCAATGTGCCGAGATAGCAGCAGGGGGGAGTTGGTCATGAAAGCTGTTTGTCGTTCTGGCAGTTCAAACCGTGATGTGACAGACTGCTGACATTATTTTTTAGGTGCTTTGTTTTGGCTGTGGAGTAGCTGTATATTCAGCCATTAGCCAACTAGAATTAGTAGAAAATTATAGCTGCTATACGATTTCAAAAAAAACAAAAACCTTAATCACTGCATGAATAAGACTGTTTCCGCTGATTGTAATCAGCTTTGCTGTACTTTGGGTGAACAACTAGAGAGAATGTAGATGAAGGGCGGCAGCGAGGGCTTCATAAATATTAATAAATGTGGATGTGAGAAATGTGTGCCTGCATTTCTGAGCTTCTAAGGCCAATACAAACTAATTCACTTAAAAAAAAAAAAAAAAAAAAGACTTGTGCACTCCCTATGCTACGAGGCCTCTGATTCTGAGTGTTAAAGGCTGCAAGAGCATTTAGACCAAGTTATCTAGCTATAATTCCTATGAATTAGGTCAATTATTACAGTACTTTTTACACTTTTTACAGTAAAGTCTATAAACTCACTGGGCCATCAATAAATGCTTTTAAAGTCCAGTCTTCAGGACCTCTAGGATTTGCTCATTGTAAAGAATTTTCACTCTGACCACACCAGGTTCAAGTAAATGAAATACCCCTGTAATGGAAAGTTTTGCTAATATACAGGTGCTGGTCATAAAATTAGAATATCATGAAAAAGTAGATTGGTTTCAGTAATTCCATTTAAAAAGTGAAACTTGTATATTATATTCATACATTACATACAAACTCATATATTTCAGATGTTTATTTTGTTTAATTTTGATGATTACAAATGACAACAAATGAAAATCTCAAATTCATCATATCAGAAAATTAGAATATTGTGAAAAGGTTCAAAATTGATGGCCCCTGGTGCCACACTCTAATCAGCTAATCAACTCAAACCACCTGCAAAAGCCTTTAAATGGTCTTTCAGTCTAGTTCTATAGGCTACACAATCATGGGGAAGACTGCTGACTTGACAGTTGTCCAAAAGACGACCATCGACACCTTGCACAAGGAGGGCAAGACACAAAAGGTCATCGCTAAAGAGGCTGGCTGTTCACAGAGCTCAGTGTCCAAGCACATTAATAGAGAGGCGAAGGGAAGGAAAAGATGTGGTCGAAAAAAGTGTACAAGCAAGAGAGATAACCGCACCCTGGAGAGGATTGTGAAACAAAACCCCTTCAAAAATGTGGGGGAGATTCACAAAGAGTGGACTGCAGCTGGAGTGAGTGCTTCAAGAACCACCACACACAGACGTATGAAAGACATGGGTTTCTGCTGTCGCATTCCTTGTGTCAAGCCACTCTTGAACCACAGACAGCGTCAGAAGCGTCTAAAGAGAAACAGGACTGGACTGCTGGTGAGTGGTCCAAAGTCATGTTCTCTGATGAAAGTAAATTTTGCATTTCCTTTGGAAATCAAGGTCCCAGAGTCTGGAGGAAAAGAAGAGAGGCACTTCATCCACGTTGCTTGAAGTCCAGTGTAAAGTTTCCACAGTCAGTGATGGTTTGGGGTGCCATGTCATCTGCTGGTGTTGGTCCATTGTGTTTTCTGAGGTCCAGGGTCAACGCAGCCACATACCAGGAAGTTTTAGAGCACTTCATGCTTCCTGCAGCTGACCAACTTTTTGGAGATGCAGATTTCATTTTCCAACAGGACTTGGCACCTGCACACAGTGCCAAAGCTACCAGTACCTGGTTGAAGGACCATGGTATCCCTGTTCTTAATTGGCCAGCAAACTCTCCTGACCTTAACCCCATAGAAAATCTATGGGGTATTGTGAAGAAGAAGATGCAATACACCAGACCCAACAATTCAGAAGAGCTAAAAGCCACTATTAGAGCAACCTGGGCTATCATAACACCTGAGCAGTGCCACAGACTGATCGACTCCATGCCACGCCGCATTGCTGCAGTAATACAGGCCAAAGGAGGCCCAACTAAATACTGAGTGCTGTACATGCTCATACTTTTCATGTTCATACTTTTCAGTTGGCCAACATTTCTATAAATCCTTTGTTTTTATTGGTCTTCAGTAATATTCTAATTTTCTGATATGATGAATTCGAGATTTTCATTTGTTGTCATTTGTAATCATCAAAATTAAACAAAATAAACATCTGAAATATATGAGTTTGTATGTAATGTATGAATATAATATACAAGTTTCACTTTTTAAATGGAATTACTGAAATCAATCTACTTTTTCATGATATTCTAATTTTATGACCAGCACCTGTATACCCTGACAGCTCAAAAAAAAAAGATATAAAGACAGGTTTTGACTCTTTATAATTTATTAGGCGTATTTATATTAGGGCAGAACGATTTTGTCAAAAATCTAAATTGCAACAATTTTTAAGCAATACTGCCATTTTACTTCAATTTTCCTTTGCTCTAACCCCAAGCTTGTAGATGTTTCACGTACTTTTTTTTTTAGCTTCCTTACCTATAGTTCATTGTTACAGGACTTTTCTGTAACCACTGTGTGAAAAAGTATTTACCTCTATTTGCATGCATGGATCTACAGTAGGTGTTAGCTGCTACTCTCTCTACCTTTTTCTCTGTGGTGACTAACCCATGTCAAGCGTTTAATCACCACTTAAAGGGCTGGAGGGAGAAATGTTATGTCTTAGGCCCTGTCCACACGAAGTCAAAACGAACACGAAACGCTAATATTTTCCAGAACGTTTGTCGTAAAGACGGAGACGTAAAATAAATGTGATCGACCACACAAATGCATGAAAACGCTGCAAAATGTATGCCAGGCCTGTAAGTGGCGCTGTGGTGCCAAAGCAAAAAGAGGCGAAGAAATGTTGGACATGCGCACTAATATTTATACAACAACCAAACCGGAAAACCGGAAAATGGCCCTGCGTGTCCATTTTCGTGGTTCAGTCAAATTGAGGTGCTGAACTATGTCGTCTATATTGCTCCGTTCTTCCTGGAGATATTCCAGAAGAAGAAGATTCTGTTGTAAGCCCGACAGCAGGGTGAGTAGCATGAGCAGCAACCATTCAACACAGTACGGTGCCATTGCTGTTGTGATACTGTGTCGCGCATGCATGTTTAGAGGCGACGCTATGACGCATGCGTGTAAAACGAAAAATGCGGTCAGACCTTAAAGATGGAAACACGAAAACGGCGTTTCAAAATCTTCCCACTCTGAAGGCTTAATAAAAAAAAAGATTTGTTTACAGACCCCGAAACGCCGGCTTCGTATGGATGAGAGGCTGGTTTCGTGAAAAATTTGTGAGTTTAGACCAGGGTTTGACTTCGTTTGGACGGGGCCTTACTCTTCTTAAATATAGTGTGAATAAAATTAGGTGGCTCTGCGAATTTGAAGATGCTATTTCTTTAAGTTGTGATTATATTGCAAATGCAATTAATTTGCCAGCCCTAACTTATACCATTCTTTATTATTTTAGGTGTAGTTGCGTTTGGCATATATTTTTGCATTACAGTCCAACTCCAGTTAAAAAACAGCTAAGAACAAGACCTAAATGGTGGCACGCATGTCTGTAAAATTCTCTTAGATTTACTATTTTTACTTCCCAACATTGAGAACCGAGTAACACAGACAATGTCATGCAAACCAGCCTGGCTGACATTTCTTTTCTTCAGTTGCAGACTTTGGGACATTTTTGTTTTTTCTTCAAATAAATCTGGAAGCTGTTGTTGAATATAACAGTTCAGAGATTTCTAAATGCAATACAGCTGTTCAGGAAATCCATTTAAACAGTTTCCAGTCTACCTGAATGATTTATTTGAAAATACACCTGGGGAGCAGAGTTTGAACCTGATCATTGGAGGTTAGAAGTTTTTGTGTGACTGAAAATCTTAAGAACACACTAGCAGCAAAGAAAAGGAAATCAAAGAACAGAGAAGCTCCAACCTGTCGTAAAGATGCTGCAAAGGCCTCATGAGAGCTGTTCAACCGGGTTCTGAACTGGGAGCAGATGCTGCGGGCCAGTTTGGCAGCGCTGAGACTTTCTATAGCATCCTGGGCCACTTTTCGCTTCCACTCTGGTGTGATAACAGGGGGATTTACAAACGTAATCCTGTGGATTATCTTGGAAAAAAGGGGGGGAAACAGACTTAAATTAACATAAATTCATAAACTACTAAACCCTTTTCATAGGCGTCTTGAGACCTCACCTGTTTGATTTGCTCCCAGACCAGCCTTGTGACGGAGGATCCCGAATGAAAGGTGACTTCCACATGATAGGCAGCATTAAGTAACTGATGAGGAAGAAAACATAAAAAGGATTAAAAACCCACCTCTAATGATGCAAGTCAGACAATCAGTCACTGTTCAACCACAAACTTTAATCGTAAATTCAGGGGATTTTATGAGATAGAGCAACATAAAGCAGAGCACAAACCATGTTTAAAAACACTGAACAGTGTGCCATCCATTTCTATCCAGCACCCATGAATCAACATTGTAGAAACACCCCCTTCCGTCTTTATAGTGAAATCTACCCTAACAATTTTCTTGGCTCATTTTAAAGAAACACATCTAAATAGTAGCTAAATATCTCCCAACGTAATCCCTCACCAGTCAGCTGTTCTTTGGTCTTCTTCATGCTATTTCTTCAGCAGTTTTGTCAAAAAGATCTAAAGCCTTAACAGAACCATTATGTTGATGCTGAGATCAAATAACACAACATGTATTGTCCGAGTGAAGGGTCAAGTAGATGTAATTGCCGCTTTCAAATATTTCTCTAATTTAATAATGTATTGAAATGTTTGTTTTAGAATAACTAACTGATCTGAGAAACATCTTCTTTCTTCACCAGGTGGCTCCAGCTCTGCTATGATGTGAAATTCATTCACTTGTAATGTTGCTCTGTGCAGCAAAGGTTGTAGACCTCTGCATAGAACTGCCAGTGGTTCAGTAGAGCCTCAGCTGGGCTCAATTCAAAGAAGACTTTTGTGTACCTGTGACTGAGGAGTGCTGCTTTGAATGAAGGGAGAACACAGCCATTGGTGATCTCTGCTAAGCTCGACAGGGTTTGGGATAGACTCCAGCGATTAGATCAGGATATGGTGGCATTTTGGTGAGGAAGTCCTAAATATGGCCGCCTGTGAAGTTATTGCTTTATTATAACGATATTGGCATTCACCCTAATGTTTTCCACTCCTTCCCCACCATTGCAACCAGTCCTGGTTAATGTACAGAAAGATGTTTTCAGCTAAAGAAGCCCCGTCAATAGCTCTTAGGAGCTTTTATGACCAGATTTGATTTAACTCTTAGCCTCTGGGTATAAAATAAATATTTTTCGATGGAGATGAGAAATCTGCTTCCTGGAATGTTGAAGTACCAATAATTAGCATCTCATAATTTAAATAAACGTTCTTAGTTTTTGGGAATATATAAGAATTATGCTCTAATTTGTATATACCGATCTGCAGTTACCATGTTTTAATTTGACAAACCGGATCTTCTCGCCATCCTTTTTCCTGTTTGGTGCGACTGCAACTGGCTATACCGGAGTGGAGCTAAAAATGGCTCGGTTCCTTATTTTGACATCGGAGGACGGAGAAGACATACGTGGACGGTGACGTTGGAAGGAGTAGCGTGAATGTGGAAAAGCTCTCATTGATTGAAATGAGAGTGTAAGTGCTCCGCACAATGTATGTGAGCGGGGCGGAGCAGAGCATGTAGGATCTGGGGTTCATCCCATGTGGAGCACTACCTTTTTATTGGCTTATACAAGGGAGCTTTGTGATTGGTGGTAAACCATCCCTGCTTAAAAAATGCATTTGTGTATTGAGGCATGTCAGGGCAGTCTCCACACACAAATGCAATGAAGTTTAAAGACTACTGGTACTTTGTCATTTCATTTATAATTGTTTATGGAGACATATTTTGGTGAATCTTGTTCTGTGCATGTGTGGATTTTGTGTGCTTGCATGAATCATGCTGTGCATGTGTGGATTTTTTTTGTGCTTGTGTGAAACGATCTGTGTATGTGTGGATCTTGTCCTGTGCATTTATAATTCATTTATGTGTATTTGTGAAAATTGAGACCCATCTAGCTCCATAGGCCTCTTTACGTTTCAAATGTATCCAAATCTGCCTCCAACTTTAAACTAAAAGAACAAAATGTACACTCAGACTAAATAATACACTCACTTCTCACTGCTGACGGAAAATAAGTTTCTATTTTTCTATAAACTCCTACCCACCTGTTTAAGATGATTAGAAGTGACATTATGCACAGATGAGTCGAAGTTGGACTTCTCTAGGCTGTTGAGGCACCGCTCCAGCGTTCCCACAAAGCTCTCCCTCAGATAGTCCACAGAGCTGATCAGCTTATTGGCCACCGCCTGATTCAAACGCACCACTATCAGTTCCTGGATCAAGTGGATGCAGGATTGTATTTCCTTTGACGTAACAGGCTCTCCATTGGTAGTTACAATGATGTCTGTAGATGAAAGAAAAGTCTGTAAGATAATGCGTTGCATATTTGCACTTATTACCACAAACAAACATAAAAGATGTCATGAGCTGTTCATTGGTGATTGAATACAATGAACTTGTGGAGAAGTCCCAGCAGCTGATGTTTTGTTCAGGCGATCTTACTCAAGAATAAAAACAGATCAAACATACATAACAGATAGAAGGCATTGTTATCCTACTGTTTTGATGTTAATCAAGCGTCCACATATTCTATAGTAGAATTTACACATATAAACAACATTTTTTAGGGAATGCAGATTTATTGAATTAAAGCACTGGCTTGTCTCTCCATAATCCAATCATTCTAATGTATGCCTTTGATAATCTGTAGGGTGGAAATGCTTCTGAACAGCAGGCTGTTGTAGTACAGATATCCTTAACAGGCTCTCCATTGGTAGTTACAATGATGTCTGTAGATGAAAGAAAAGTCTGTAAGATAATGCGTTGCATATTTGCACTTATTACCACAAACAAACATAAAAGATGTCATGAGCTGTTCATTGGTGATTGAATACAATGAACTTGTGGAGAAGTCCCAGCAGCTGATGTTTTGTTCAGGCGATCTTACTCAAGAATAAAAACAGATCAAACATACATAACAGATAGAAGGCATTGTTATCCTACTGTTTTGATGTTAATCAAGCGTCCACATATTCTATAGTAGAATTTACACATATAAACAACATTTTTTAGGGAATGCAGATTTATTGAATTAAAGCACTGGCTTGTCTCTCCATAATCCAATCATTCTAATGTATGCCTTTGATAATCTGTAGGGTGGAAATGCTTCTGAACAGCAGGCTGTTGTAGTACAGATATCCTTAACAGCGGACACTTGTAGTGTTTTCCTCAGATTACCTATAACCCTTGTTAATTTTATTGATTTTCTGACAGTTTGAACATCTTAGTTCATAACATTTGGCCTTCTGGAGTTTTATCATCTATTCTTTATCAACAAATCTTTAAATAACAGCAGTGAATAGAGCTATGTTTAAAGAAAAAAAAATGTATATTTTAATACTCAATTCTGAATTGATTCCCATAGTAATCCCTACAGATCAATTCGTATAAGGGATTAATCTACCCCTTTTACAGGGATACGTTCCACAGGCTTTTAAGGTAGTAATTGAATATTTATTCAAGAAACCTTCTCTCAATCCTAACAACTTGATCGGATATATACCTATATATAATCTTATCTAAAATTATTAAGAAAATAGCTACCAATCAAATGTGTAGAAATTTACAACATAATGAACTGTTTTTAGAGCTTCAGTCAGGCTCTGGTGAAAGTCAATGATATTCTCATGGCCTCAGATAATATACTTTTATCTGTACTTGTCCTGTTAGATCTCAGTGCTGCATTTGACGCAGTTGGTCATATTATTATTTTGGAAAGGCTTGATACATTTTGTAGGAATTGAGAGATCTGGACTAGGCTGGTTTGAATCTTATTTATCAGACAGATTTCAATATGTTTACATTAATGACAAATCTTCCTCATCCTCCAGGGTTACCTGTGGAGTACCACAGGGATCATTGCTAGGACCAATTCTCTTTACTATATATATGTTCCCAATCAGTAGAGTTATTAGACAGCATGGGATTAATTTCCACTGTTATGCTGATGATACTCAGCTACATCTATATATCTATAAATCCAGATAACACTAATCCATTACATAGATTATAGGCATGTCTTGAAGACAAAACTTGGATGACTTAAGTTTCTGCTTCTGAATGCAGACAAAACAGAAGATAGTCTTTGAAAAAGAAGCTGATTATTCAGTCACTTCATTTGGATGGGATTACATTTATCTCAGAAAATAAAGTAAAAAAAAAAAAAAGGTTTTATTTTTAATCAGGACCTGCCATTTAAATACGACATCAAAGAGGTTTCTAGAATTTCATTCCTTCATCTCCAGAATATTGCAAACATTAGAAATAACTCATACAGGGTTGATGATGAGAAACTAGTCCATGCATTTTTTACGTCGAGGCTGGACGACTGTGATTCTTTACTATCAGGAAATCCACAAACTGTTAAAAGCCTTCAGCTGATCCAAAATGCTGCAGCCAGAGTTCTGATGAAAATTGAAAAGAGAGATCATATCTTTCCTATCCTAGCTTCTCTTCACTGGCTTCCTGATAAATCCAGAGTAGAATTTAAAATCATCCTTCTTTTATATTAAGCACCAAATAAGAAAGCTCCATCTTATATCAAAGATCCAAAAGTTCTCCATGTTCCTAACAGAGCCCTTTGCTCTCAATCTGCTGAATGTACTAGATGCTACTAGAGTTTTTAACAGAAGAAAGGGCTGTGGAACATTTAGTTACCCAGCTCCTTTGGAACACACAACCAGTTTTATTCCTTGAGGCAATAAAACCATCTACTTTTAAGGCTAGGCTTCAAACTTTCCTTTCCGATAAAGCAATCCCTATAGTTCTGCTGCTATAGGCTTAGTCTGCTGGAGGATTTGGGGCCTACGTTTATCATTCTGCTCCACTCTATTTTCCCATTCTGCAGTATTTTTTTTTAGTTTAACCCCTTACTTTATGCTCCCTGCTTTTCATATTACCTTCATCTTATCAGTTCTCTTTTTGGCTGACACCATCCTGGAGAGAAATTTCAGCTAAGGTGCAGTCATCAACACCTAACCTATACAGTTGATTGAGTTGGGCCTGTTTTTCAGTCTTTCCTGGACAGAAAAACCCACGGAGTTTACCATTACATTTCCAACATAGAAAATATTTATGGATCAGTGCTTCTATATTCCTTTTGTATGTCTGCATCTCTCTCCTTGAAGCCTCAGTTGGCCTCAGCAGAAGGCAACTCACACTGAGGCTGGTTCTGCTAGAGGTTTCTACCTCCTAAAAGGTAGGTTTTCCTCTCCACTGTCACTGCGTGCATGTTTAGGGCGAGTGATTGCTAGAGTCAACACCACAATAGAAAAGAATATCTACTTGAATTACAAACTTAGAAAACTTTTTTTAACCAATCTGACTGTGTGATCTGGTTAATTTGTCTCTGTAACTTGCCTCTAGATGATATGTGTTATATAACTATATAAAGCTATATAAATTGAACTGAGTAACCAAAAATGATTTTTTTACATAATTTTAATTATTTGCTGCTGAATATTAATAAAAAACTGAAGCCTATGTCTGTTGTATAACTAAACAGTTGTGAAATAAAGATAACAGCAAAAGAAATGTTCTCAGTACCAACAATCCAATTTCAGATGGGTTCAAAAGTGTTGATTCTAAATCGGAATTAAATTGATTCTTGAAATCTGAATTGATACCCATTCCTAATAACAAAACGGGCCTCCAATATTGCAGAGTGATAAAGAAGTTTTTGCCGTTATTGGTATCCAGACACAATAAGATCAGTTCAAATTAAATATGCTTAACTGGATTTTACCAAATTTGATTTAATACAAGCCAATAGATCAGACATGCATCAATATCTGCAGCAGATGAAACTGACAGTTTTCTTGACCATTGGTCAATAATTTTTCAATGTCAAACTAAGAACTTCAATTATGTTTGATCTCAAAAAGATGTCGTCGGTGCAATGAATTTGCTTATTCAGAAGAAATCCAGTAAAGGTCAGACATGCAGTGATATTAGAGTTGTCACGATACTAAACTTTTCAACTCGATACCGATACTAAGGAAAATATTCGATACTCGATACCATTTCGATACCACAAGGATAAAAACAAAGACTCCAAAATTCTACAGAAATATTTTCATTAATAAAATACAATAAATAAATACAATAAAGGTTGTATGCTGTGCATAATATTAAGCAAGCTTGATAAAAAACGTATCAAATTAAAATGAAGTGTTCCTTCCTTGGCTATGCTTTGAACACATAGCAATGACGCTAGCCAAACCGGTTAAGAAACAAAAACAATTCTCAGCAGCTGCACCTCTTACAAAAAAAAAAGTGTGAAACTGAAAAGTGCTTAGAATTATTCAATCACACAGTGTTCTGATAGTGCATTGTCCTCTATTCTGCACTTTAGATGAATGCCTGCTTAGGTGCCACTGGTGGTGGCACTGTATCGATACTTTTAAAAACGAGTATTGTATCCGGATACAACGTTTCAGTATCGATACTTTTTTGTGAATCAATACTTTTGACAACCCTAAGTGATATCAACTAACTATTTAAATATTCAAAGTAATATTACGAAAAAAATGAACAAGCTATAATAATTTCTTAACACACAAAGTGCCGACATTATCTGAATAGAAAATTAAGGAAAATAATATGCTAGCTGAATAGAATAGTTTTAGGAATAAGCAAACAAGCAAAGTATTTTAACACAATTTTTGTTTGATCATTTACTGTATGTCTAAAATACCATCTATTATTCTGTTTAGTTTATTTTTCACAGATTTAACAAGAAACATTTGGATAGATTTGAATCAGACTGTAAGTAATGAAGTGTGTCAAAATCCCATTAAAACAGTTTCTTTGCTGAGCGGACACAACAGTGGTTTATCCCTTTAGCCTTAAGAGACACGTCTGATTTATAGGACAGAGATCAATGGTGCCCTGTGAAAATGGTACTGCTCTCAAAAATGATGGAGAGGGAGTCCAAAGGGGAAAAAAATATATCAAACATGAGGAATGCAGTGATACGTGATTTTTGCAGAGTGCTGTTTTTTTTTTCTTTATATATATATTACAAAATAAATCCACAAAGAAACACAGGAAAACTGAAGTCACATAAAATATTCATCTTAAAGAGTGAAAACACACTTGCTCTAAAAGTGTTTGTTTAAAATGATAGCTTTGGTCTCAGTCCTAATTAGAGTTTAAAGCCAAAACGTGTGTTTCAAAAACTACCTCTGCTGGTCATGTCTACTATTTCTTTTAAATTGCAGTGCAAACTTTACCAGTTTACATTTTTTGCAGTTACACAGTTATGAATAGGTTCATTTCTAAGAGTCTGATTTGATTTAGGTACAAAAAACCGTGATCCAAACAAAGTTAGACTGACATTTATATTTGTGTTTGTAGTGGCTTCAAGCTAGGTGGTTTTAACAGGCAATGTTTTGTTTTAGCTATAAATTGGCCACATTCTCCCTTTGGCAGTCAGAATGAAAATGGACGATAAAACAGGAATATCCGCTGTAGCTGCAAGATGAAGACCTCAAAGGAATAAAGTCACATTGTTGAGACAAGCTGGGAAGAAAAAAAATGCAGAGAAAGTTTCCAACATGCATCCATCGCTGACTTCTCATCAATCAACCTCATATTTACTAGGATTGCAGCTATGGTTCATTATCGTTCTGATAATAAGAGGAGTAAATGGATGTAATATTGCGGTGATCCAATAAGGGCTTACTTCATAGAGGGGTATTCACAAAGAGCACAACTCAAGCCCATGAACATTCCCAGAGGGATTGCTGGCAACAGCCTATGAGGTTTTTTTTTTTCAGGTACTTAAAAGTTCAGCCAAACTTTTAGGATAAATTGCAAAATCCAGCCAGTTCAGCCTTTTTGGATCAAAACAGAGTCTTAACTCGATCAAATGGCCTTAAGCCTCATAACTAGAAATGTCTTTTCTGCAGAGAAAAATTTGCTCCTTATTTTTCTATTCTCACAAACAAATTATTATTATTATTTTAAAAAAATACAGGAAAAGGTGGATGATCCATAAAAGGTGAATACATCTGGAGTAAAAGAGCAGAGAAACACAAACTCTTCTGTGTTGAAAGATAGATCAATTATTCAGTAGCAGATCTGATGAATAAATATGTGGCTCATGTTCCTACTGTCTAATCACACATTAATACTCTTCAAGTTTTATTACTAAAGGCAATAAATAAAACATTAATTATGTTATTTCAAAACGACTAACCTGGTCCTGTAAGAAAAAATGACATTGTAAAATTAATGAATTAGTTATCACCTTTATTATTTCCAAAAAGTGCAACTGTTTTCAGTTCACTTGACATAAAAACACATTATATTAAAGAGCAGTAAAAAAAAAAAAAACTCTTTTTAAGGCTAGGCTTACAACCTATATACCCCATTCAACTTTTCCTCCTTTTGGCACCTTCTTCTACTTCTTTTTGAGTATTGAGCCAATGTAACAAGTACATTTCTCCACTCTGAGATTAAAAAAAAGTCAACTGCAGGGGGGAAGGACACATGACCAGGAGGAAGCCACTAGATCCGTTATTAAAGGAATAGTACACCCAAAACATGATTAGCCTTCATTTTCTACTCACCCCCATGCTGAACAACACTCTGGAGTACTTTTTTGATATCTCAAATGCATCTGGAGATCTGGGAGGCTTCTTGCTATCTGCTGACATTCAAATAATGGAGGTGCCCAGCGCCCGAGGCAGAAAGGTCCATAAAAGTCCACAAAAAACGTGTCAATATTTCTCCATACTGCTCGTCCAATGTATTCCAAGTGTCCTGAGTGGGTAGCATCCAGAATTTACTCGAAACGAAGTCATTTAGAATGTTTTTAGAGCATAAACAGTAGTGTATAGGATTTCCTGAAGGCGCGCACATGCGCGTTCACGAGCCTACGGAAGCCGGCAGACCAAACCAGCGCATTCAGCTCGGCAAAGAACTCATGCTCTTCCTCAACACTGAAGTCCTCAGACATTTTTCTTTCGTTGTTTCTTTCTTTGCACAGGTAAACAGCACATTTCTTCTTCTACGCTTGCATTATTGGCAGAGCAGACGCTGAATGCGCACTTTCATCTGGTTTGGTCTGCCGGCTTCCGTAGCCTCGTGATCGCGCAGGTGCGCGCTTTCAGGAAATCCTATACACTACTGTTTATGCTCTAAAAACATTCTAAATGACTTCGTTTCGAGTAAATTCTGGATGCTACCCACTCAGGACACTTGGAATACATTGGACGAGCAGTATGGAGGAATATTGACACGTTTTTTGTGGACTTTTATGGACCTTTCTGCCTCGGGCACTATAGACCTCCATTATTTGAATGTCAGCAGACAGCAAGAAGCTTCCCAGATCTCCAGATGCATTTGAGATATCAAAAAAGTACTCCAGGGTGTTGTTCAGCATGGGGGTGAGTAGAAAATGAAGGCTAATCATGTTTTGGGTGTACTATTCCTTTAAGAACATTCTGTTTCACTGAGCTGTTCAATGCTTTTAGTTCACCTGGTCTCATACAGGTGAGTGGCGTCCCTCAGCTTTGTTTCAGTAGTTTTTTTTTCTCCATGACAACTCGTTTTTAAACCTTCCCAGACTGATAGATGTTACTAGCTTTGTTTCTCCTCTGCTTCGGGTTTTTTTTTGTGTAAAAACTGTGACCTGTCCCATCAAAATATTCCTCATAACTAAGGCCAACTTTCATCCAATTGAAATGCTTGAAGTTTCTGCCTATATAAAACTAAAGAAACTGCAAGAAAGATAAAGAGCATGACTGATATCTGGAGAGTGTTAAGGATGCTTCCTATTGAGGATAAGCCAGTACAGAGAGAAGACTGAATGATTACAATGGTGACTTAAGTGTATTAAGATTTAATCATAATCTATCAATATATTGGCTGTTTAGTAGGTCACCACTCAGCAAAATAATTCTATAGATAAAAAAAAGAAAAAGAAAAAAAAGAGAACCCAGAAAGGTGAGAGAAAACTTTTAAAAACGTGAAGTTAACCGTGTGCCAGCTCACTAACCTTTGAACTCTAGGTTGGCTGCATCATCTAGTAACTGCTCCTTCATGCTGCCCAGGGTCTCGACAATCATCTCCTTCATCTCCTCCTGTTTTCTGTTTGCGATGGCCATCAGGGAGTTGAAGAGTTCACCCTCTTTCTCACGAGTGTACTCCAGCCTGCGGGGAGTTATCTGCAGGTCCCTCTGCATGTCAAAGGCCTTCATGGGAGTGATGCAAAGATGATAAAGGTCTTAGTGTTTGTGTTACAGGATTAAAAGGGGTCAAAATACACGGACAACAAACAGGTCATTCATTGAAGATAGCGATTACAGCAAACCGGGTATGGGGTGCTTCATCTTCTGACCTGGTTGATGAAAAGGTCGAGACATCGACAGTGAAGCCCATTCAGCAGGTTGGCAGCCTCTACTTGCTGGTTTTGGAGAACTTGACGAGCAAACGGAACCAGCAGCCGATGCAGTCGATCAAAAGTTTCGCCCAGTATGCTTTGGGGTTTTGCCCCTGGGGCGGAAACCTGCGTCGGGGCTCCACAGGAACAGTGTCCAGTCTGGCTACTCAAGAAGCCGAGCGAGAGCAGCTGCTTGTGCAGGCCACTCCTCTCCTTCTCCTTTTCCCCCCGGCGGCTGGACTCTGGGGAGGCAGCTAGCGTGGAGGCAGGGGTACGGACAAAACAAATGGGAAATGGGAGCATCTCTTTGACCTTCCGGAGGTCGGCCACCTGGTCTGTACTGAGAGTGTCCTGGTTGATGGCGTAGAGGATGACGGGCATCACATTGCGAGTGCAGTCTTCCAGGGCCTCTTCTATAGGCTGGACACTTGGACATGGGACCACCATGACCTTGGTTTCCTGTAAAAAAAATAAAAATAAAAACTGTAATCATTCAACTAACATAATACACAAATTTTTACATATTTTATCAAGATTAGACTTTTATTTTTCATCAGCAGACCAAACCATAGTCACTTTTCCTAATCAGTGAGTATATTCACCACCTCATGCTTCAAACCCACCATTTAAAGGCTGCCGTGTAAAATCATTCATACATTTGCCTGACCCTATCATTTTTATTTGTAGTGACCTTAAGGTACAAAAGGAGCTTGTAAATAAAAATGTATAACTATTGCTAAGAAAACATGGGGGTTTAATGCTCCATTTAAAGCGTTGATGTGGCACACCTTCACAATAAAAGCCTGTCCATAAAAAATAGCTCAGAGCTTCAGAAAGCAGAACACTGATTAAACCCTCTTACAGCTTTCTTCTCTACTCGTAAAACCTGAACTGTATGATGCTGGCTGCATTGTTTGCTTACTGATTGTAAATTTGAACCGAGTAGGTAGGCAGAAGTGTGAGAGTTATGTTTTATTTTTAAATTGGATTATGTTCAGAAATGTTCTTTGACTGAATTGCAGCCCTTCCCTTTGGCTTTATGAAGCAGATAAAGGTCAGGGGATTTCTCAAGCCGGACACTAGAAGGGTCACAGTTCTATGAATGCTAAACATCTGTACGACATCACCAAGTCACAAGTACAACAGGTCTTGTTATTACCATGGTAAACAGTCCTAAAGGAACACATTCAAAACTTCAAACATTTGGAAAGTTTCACAAATAAATACAAGAGTATTATCATTCTCTCTTTGTCCAATCAGTATACCACTAATGTCGTTAGTGCATTTAAATCAGGTCAAGAAGAGAAGTTTCAAGTGTTTCCAACGAAGAGCTGCAAAAGTCTTTGAGTTTTTGAAGTCGATATATAGTGAAATTAAGGGAATAAACATTGGTAATAAGGCGAGCCCTTAAAATGATCATAGAATGATTATATAGGGTATTTGGTGCTGGTCGTTAAGGTCTCTGAACAGGGTGTGTAACATTTGTTAGGCTGAAAATAGCATATTTGCTGTTCTATGAGCTCTAATGCAACTCTGGTTAGGAGGCCCAGAATGAAACGGTTTTCTTCCTTTTATGGTACGCTCATGAATATTTAGATGAGCTGTGTGCTGATTGGTTGGTTTACAACGAGCAAACCTGCTGAGCAAAGACCCATAATAGCAACAAGCACTCACTCAATGAAACGTCAAGATTGTTGGTATGGTAGGGTGTCCTACTTTTCATACCTAAAAAAACGTCTGGGGGGGGAATTTCAAAATCGTCTTGGATTTTGGTCAACTACAGTGCAGCAGAACCGAGCTATGAGCTCCGGGGCTGGTCCGGTGCAGGGAGCCAGCGCAGGACGGAATGTCCCAACCCAACCCGGTAACCGTAGCCTGGACAATGGCGACCCCGTGCTTCCCCCTGGCAGGCACGGGTTTACTTGTAGAAGTAAACCCAACTGTAGGCTAAACAGCTAAACTGGTGTCTTACATCTACCTTCAATCATGTTCTTGGGCCATTGAACCAGTGGGCTGGTCTCTATGTCAATTTCAGGGCGTGACAAAAGTACAGGCCAGAACCAAATAAGGCAACATCCTCGAATTGACGTCAATTCAGGGCTTCGTTTGGATTCACCCGTTTTATGGTGGAAGTTTAGAATTGTGAGATTTGCAGAGAAAGGAGGTGTCGATGGGGTTTGACTTCTCACTGATCTATCGTTATTCATCTATGACAATGTAAACTCGGTTTTGCATTCTTTGACCCCTTTAAGAGAGAATAAAATGCAATATAAATCCATTTTTAGCCAGAACAGAGAGCTACTGTATGCCTTGCAACCGACACATGAAAGAAACAACACATTATTCCTGCTTGTGGAAAGACTTTGGTTCTGAGAACACTCCAGTGAGTTCCCACCACAGTGAAGTGCACTCAATGAGGGAAGTGAAAGGGAAGATTTTCTCCATAAGAAATTAGCCTTTATGAGCCAGCAAGAATAAATAAAGGTATCACAACCATCTCTGAATTATTTGACAATCATGGTAATATAATTAGCTACGACAACTTTTTGATGAAATATCAGTTTCCAAAAAGACACAAGGAATACAAATCAATTATAGAGTGCATCCCCAATGGACTCTAACAATTGTTAAAATCATTACAATTTACTCCAAATGTGTCCACCAAATTGTTTCTCAAAAGACTGTATTTTCTTGCCACTTAACACAATAACAAACACATACGCAACACATTTCAACAATCCAAATGCCTCCAACCGAGAGACAAAATATACTGGAACTCCCTTTTTAATAAAAAAAGACTGCAGCAAATCATGGTCACTTCTTCATTACTTTCCCCATTAACAATAAAATCTGTAAAATTCATTTCAAAATTCTTTATAACATTTATCCTACAAATAATGAAATAGCTAAATATCTTGAAATAATCCAAATTGTTCCTTCTGCAATATTGAAGCTCAAATAACTCTTCACCTACATGTCCACATCCTTCATGAAAAGCAATAGAGCACTACTTATCTCGAAACTACAGTATAGCCATCTCTGGCTTTAGCATTATCACTTTTTTAAACACCCAAACAAGGAACTGTCAATACAAATTTATCTATTCATATTATTTGGAAAATTTCACATTCATAGAAGTACATTCAATAAAATGAAACCCTCTTTATTCGTGTTAGATACTAAAATACAGAAATACAAACAATCTGCATCATATCAACAATAAACAATCTAACTCCATGGTTAACATATAGCGGAAACTGATCCTTCATTTACCCCAAATACCCAATTAATCACAAATCTCAAAGCCCTCACAACTTTGTTCCCCCTGAAATGGACTCATCATTATTGTTTTTGCAAATCCACTGCCTTTTTTATTATGTACTTGAAATCACAGTGATATGATTGTCTCTTCTATAAATATTGTATAAATCTTTTCCTCTATATTTTCCTGTATATTATGTATATATAAAAATATATAAAACGTTTTTGTTCTATGTTTTCCCACATGTTTGGAAATGCCGGCTCCAGCAGTTATTTTATGAATTTCTATGAATTAATAAAGGGTAGGATTTTTCAGCTGTTGTAAATACAGTTTTATCTCTATTTTCAGGGTATTTTGTTGTATTGTCTGTTTTATTATTTCATGTCTGTTTTTACTGTAAACTGTGTTCCAGGTTTTTAATCCTTGGAACGTTGCTATATTAATAAAAGTCAATTAGTCATTAACTTGGTGATTCCAAATTGACTTTTTTTTACTAAAGAAAAGGTTAAAAATATGGTGCAGCTATGATACATTTAGCATATTTAACATAACATTCAGGTCAACATTATATTTTTCTTCAATTAATCAAAACCCCTCCCTAACCAACCTCATAGTTTGTGGCTAAAAATCTAAGAAAATGAGGCTTTGTTATAAAAAGATATAAAGCTGAGTGAAATCAAAGTCCTAAAGGAAAATGTGAGACATATATACTTACATTTTAGGCATAAAACAAAGTCACTCACACGCCGCAAGAGTTTCGAATGAATTATTTTTGAAATAGGACTATAATTATTTACATTAAATAGCTCTGCCTTACTGACATTTATGAATATTGTTTACCAATAGTTCTCAATGCAGGATTATTCCTATTCGATCAACAGTAGGGCTGTAATCGCAATTTAAGTAAACACAATTTTAAAATTCCAGAGGCAGTCAGTTTTAGTGACATTATATTTAGCAACTTTTTCACTCCCACCATTTAGGTGGCAGTGATTCATTTAAAGTTGATTCTGCAACACACAACAGGGCACAGAGAGTTGTAGCTACCACGCAGATCCATGGAGTGGAACTAAGAACTTTTGCACAAAACAGCAACAGTAAAGTCGTGCAACAATGGAGGTAAAGCAATCTGTCAAGTTAATGAAAACAAGGAAACCCTGGAGTGAAGCATCTACATGCTTTGGGTTCTTTAAGAGGACAAATAAAGAATAAAAAATTGCAATATGGGCTTAGAAAATGTATGCAAAATAACTTTATCATAAAATTTTGCTGCTACAGTAAAATAAAAATGCTAAGGTCAGCTACATATCTTGACCAGAGGTTCAATTGACTTCTGAGGGGCTAAGCTTCAAATCCTGAAGGCCTGAATTGTGGTCAATGCTGGATGCTAACTCAAAATGTTAATTAGGTCATTGAGTTTCCTCTCATCAGTCCTCCGTTTTCAAACTACTGTAAGCCAAAACATCCGCTTGTATCACATGTTCCTTTCTATTTCTGAACAAATGGCAGCAAATACATATTTGTGGTGATGTTTGTTTCATAAATAAGGAGATTTTCTTTTTATGCTCTGATAAATAACCTTGACGAAAATAGACTTGCAGATGGTCTAAAAGAAAGAGCATGAAATGGAGGAGGGTGATAGAAATGACCGACCGCATAACAAAGGAGACAGTCAGTCCTGTCTCCAAGAAACAAGGGGCGAGTCGGCCTGGGCAGTCTCCCTGGGACAAAGATGGCCTGCAAACATTTCTTCACGGCTGTTAAAGTCAGGACAGGGTTTGAATTGCCTGCGTGTAGCCCTGGTTCCATTAACAGTTTTACCGCTGTTTTCAAGTTAGAGTGAGGCTTTAATCTTTTAGAGACAGACATTAAATAATCTTTTGCCTGAAAAATGCTAATTGTGATCCATTTGTAAATCCTACCACTGTTACAGTGATAATAAATTATATCAAACCAACATTAAAAATATGAGTTTCTAACATAGAATAATGGTATTCTACTGTTTATACAGTGCAATAGTTTACAGATTTATAATGTTTCTTTTTTTCACACATTTAAATATTTTAGGTTTTTTCAGTACACTGACAAAATTTCATATAGCAAAAAATAAAGTTACTACGAAATAAATATTGTTTTTAATTCAATTCAGTTTATTTATATACGGTAATGCCAATTCAAAACACATGTCATGTTAAGG